ATTCCAGCCACAGTCACGCGATCCTTGCTATTATTTCCATTACTATAACCCATTCGGTTATTGCTGGCTACAATTATGCAGCTGTCGTTCAAAACGCTTCACACAAAAGGGAGTGGGCTGTTAAAGAAGCGTCTGGCCACCCCGCCTCGCGTACGCCAAATCACCTGGGTTCGTCATGTGTGTAGCCGCTGGCATTTAATAACTGTAGTTATTACATTAGCGCTGCTGCAATGCTCTTTGAATTGAACATTTGTTGGGGGAGATTTGAGGTGAGGCTGGGGGGATACGATTGTTATGAACCTCAGTACTATAATGAGTTCGCAGTGATCGTGTAATACGCATTCCCGTGAGTCTTACGGATATTATTGAAGCAGATTGTCGATTTCCAGCTTGTTTGATCTTCGAGCTTTAGAGGGGAGGAATTGGCTTGGTCAGCTGGCGATGCGTCGAAATGCAGTCTGAAGTGATATTTTATACATATACCGCACCTCTAAAAGTCTTAATAACAGTATTAAGGTGTAACTAAGGTGACAACAGAATAACGGTATTCACTAGACTTTCCAACCCAGCGGCACTGCTGTAAACGAACAATGTAGTGGACGTAGCTATACATAAACTTTTTGTCACCATTAAAACCATTTGTCAAACAAATGCTCGATATAGGCCACGATAGGACAGGACAACAGATTAAACTAAACCGTAACACGTAAGCGGAACTTTGTGTTTTTTTTTTTCTCAAAATATTAATTAAGTCTATTAGTTTATCCATATCCATTGTTATAGCTAAATTTTCTTATATTTGATTACATACATAGCTTTAAAGCTACCCGCATACGAGCAAAAACCTTGAAGTTGGCTATGTACATGATAAATGCACGTGTTGTTATATACCAATACCCCATCCTTGTATACGTATTGTGGAACACATACGTTATTATAGTTAGTCGAAGTCCTACTATATTGTGAGCTTAACGTTTGTTACCTCTATTTCATATAATTGGATTCCGTCCTGACAATTCCATGGCGCGAGAATATATATTATAGGATCGCGGACGAGATTCGTAGAGAATAACACTGGGTGTATGTGTGGGTATACGAGGTAGTCAGCAGTGCAAGCAAAATAACGTTATGCAGTTGAAGGGGTAGCTAAGCGTGATATGACTTTGCCTACTTCCTAGTTTACAGGCCCAGGTAGTTTATGCTATCCATGTTTGCCTTGAAATTGTAGCCCAAGGCACTAGTTGACGTGGATAAGCCTCATTCGAACCGTTAAGCCGACTCAGAAATTATTCACCCTTATGGCACTCATTCCTGTTATCAATCACTGTGAACAATCAAGCATATAGTGATACTGCACAATTTTTTTTATTTTATTGTGCTTTTTTTCAGAACAAAGATTATGTTCCAGATGATGAAAAGGAAGGTTTATTAAGAGACGATTCCACAGGCCCACCACGGGAACGTAGCTATCTACTAGCCTTGAGTTTGTGCGATATTGTGCTTTGGTTGTGTTTGAAAAAGGATAGAAGGAGCATAAAGTCCTTTTTTTTTTAAAACAGAAAAAAAGAAGGGACAAATGTGCCGAGAGGATGCGGTCTCAACAGTAACCGAACGCATAACATAAAAGCGGTTCGTAAGCTTCCGAACAAATGACATCAATTTCGGTGAGCAACTACAGTCCACACGATCTGCAATGTCCGATACAGAAACAGCAGCAAAGGCTCCACATCATGATTCTTGATGAATTCACTGGAAACCTAAGCGTTCTCGATATATTCAAAACTGCCTAAGCCGTTAAACAAAAGTGTTTGGATGCGTCACAAGGGCAAAATCGTTTTCGAAAAAGCGTGTAGTGGCCTGCGGTGATTCAAAAAGGAATATGATTATAAGGTATGGCTAGTGAATAAGAAAAAATCGTTGATTAAAGAGAAGAGCCCGTCAACCGAAGCCGCGTTCTTCCAGGCTTTTGCTGAGGAAAGGCAATTGAAGGCTTGGCAAAATTTTAGCCAACAATGAATGAAAATAACGAACAAAATGTATCTACTAAATGCCCCAAAGGGGAAGTTGTGCTGTTTCAAGTGTAAGTGAGAAACAGGAACACGCTTTATTGCGTATTCAACGATAGGATCCTGATTTGAGGTTTTTTTTGTTTGAAAAAGGCAAGATCACCAGTCTTCTGTGCTACATTTTAAGTACTTAGCAGCCAGAATTTATTTATGCCAGCACGGGTTAGCATAGCAGCGTCAACAGAACATCAACGAATACTAAACCGCAATTTAATCTGTTGCATGGCGGGTTGTTCTTTAACTCTCTGATTTTTCTGTTCTAACAGAAGTTCGGTAGTGTTGGGGCTGACGTTGTTGATTCACGGCTGATGCCGGTCTAAATTCCACTTCTGAAAATCCGTCAGTCACTTCTGTTCCCCTGCTGACGATATCGCCCTGGGGTTGAATGCACCATCTTAATAATATTCACACGACTTGATGACACAGACTTGTAGATCTTGGCGTCATCCGTCCAATGTTTTGGCAGGCCGACATGGGTAGGGCATGCTCCCGACGTCTTGCTGCAGATCGGCATAGATTACAGAATAAAACACCCACTCAAATGCGCAGTGACGTATCGCGTTGACGGATTGCGAAGAGACATACATTGTCAGTGACACTTAGGCAGTATGCTAGATGAATAACTATACACGAGGAACAAAGCTAGAAACGATTGCGTACGCATAACGGAACTTACTTACGTGTACATTCTATTTCTGTTTCATATCGCTTAGTTAAGGTAACAGCCTAGAGCGGGAAGCAAACCAGTGACGGTAAATCATGCCCTGGACACTAAACGACGCCTGCCGATAGGCAATCAGCATATGCTGGACGGATATGGCATAATATGATGCGAACAATATCCATTGGTATTAAAAACGAAATATCTTTGGGCTAGCAATAAGGACAGTGAATCCGTCAAATTCGCATAGGACAATGAAATTGCTATAATTAAGGTGGACGACTATCAGCCGTTAGGCCGCTCTGCAATACCAGGTTTTAGATCGAAAAATGATAGCAATCTTTCTTCGTGGGTCGATCACATCCAGGTGGGTCAGCAGTGAAATATGGCTTCGGTATATTGCAAGAGATTTCAACTAGCTTTATATAGTTAAAATTGCACGCTACATTGCACGATATTCAGAAAATGTTTTTACGTTTTTTTTTTTTAGAGCTATCGGTATGGCGCACCAGAACGACGCGAATACGACGCGGCCAAATGCCTGGTGCTTGGCATCTGCTCGTGCTTTGAAATTAGGATTTCGTCCTGTGATCCAGGCAAGAAGTGGTTGTGATCTTTACTGTCTTGGTCATCATGGGTACAAACAAAGCCAAATGATCTATGAAAATTTCTTAAACTGACAGCGAACTTAGCGCTCCGGTAAGCGAGCTATTAATAATATAATCGTATGTTTTGTTGATTCCTATTTAATTATACTTTTATGAATGATGAAGGGAGAACTTAGCTGATTCAGACCCACGAAGCCATGCCAAGTTCTTTCCTAATGAAGCAAACAATTTCTTAACATTGATGATTTCAATTGATAATGAATATTATATTTTGCTATTATGTATGCTGTTATTAGGAAGCCAAACTGTGTTAATCAGATAAATAATTGCTTCTTTTACTTATATATACTATTTTGATTTAGCATTGGCCTTTGGTAGACATAAAATTACACCATCTTTAGACACTAATTCACACAAACCCGGATGCAACTTTTGAAAGAACTCTAAACCAATGTAATGTGAACTGACAAGCCTATGTACGGGTGAACCTTTTTATAGAACGAAACTAGAAACATTGAGGACCTTCTAAGCCACCAGACGGTGTCACCTTAAAAAATAAGGTGAGTAAATATAATTGGTTTATGCTTAACAGATTTAATTTCTCAAATGGAGGTTATTCAGGAACAAATAGCCATTGTATTCATATGAATGTTTGCTTGGCATATTTTTCTTATTAATATGTTTCTGCCCCGTATCAGCAAGAAGGAGCATATATAGTTGTTGTTATTATTATGCGGCGTAACTATTATAGGAGTGTATTCTAGTCCCGGTCCTATCTTCACTTACATAGTCTGTACCACGATAGCGCCATATTTGATTGCGTGTCGCTCTTGCTTAGTGTTGCTGCAGTGTCAATGTTTGTATTGAAGTCTGGGTCTGTTCTACCGGCCCAAAGTTCTTGAAGTGTTCTAATGAGGCTATTTGGGACTGTCGCCTGTCTACCGGGTATTCAGCTGTGGTCACATGGGCAAAAAAACCGCTAACCACTTAACGCCTTTAAAGCTTCCTCCTTTAGCCTTTTTTTGCCTCCCCTGTCCAATTCTAGCAATAGTTTGTAACTGTGAACAACAAACTTTTCCCAAGCTTTTGTCTTTTCATCTGTGTGGCTGTCTGTGGCGATCAAGCAAATGTGGAAGAAGGAGAAAATGTGCGCTGATCTGGGAAGCTTCCTTCTAGCAGACACGCTCCAGCGAATCAGCAACGGTCAGAACTATGACTGAATTGTTGTACGTTACCGACAAAACACGATACTGCTGCTGCTGCTGCTGCTGCTGTAGTTGCCTGCATAGGCTTGTCCTGTGTGTTGATGTCTGTTACCGCTGGCTCTCACGGTAACTTCCCGTAGTCAGCAGACGGCCAGGCTAATCGCCGGTTGTTCTGTCAAGAGTCATCGCGCGGGCCTACCCTTGCCAAAAATGGTTACTACCATTGCGGCAGGTTCTTTGACACAGGCGAACCAAAGGCGGGTTCTGCTTTGAGTAGGCAAGGTTGACATCGCTATCACTATAACTACTACTATTGGTAGCACTATCAGCACACGCAGCGACTTCTATAGGACTCTCTGCCATACCCATTACCATCTCTCGCCCCCCATCTGCTTCCTTTCCAGCTTGCGGTCGATCCGTCGTCCCCCGTAAGGTATAAATAAACCCCAGTGCACAAGTCATCGGTTAGAGGAGTAGCGCGGCGAAACACTGGCCGGCAGTTCTTCAGCTAGAAGCGAAGCTGCCACTCAGCAAAAGATGAAGTGTTTCATATTAGTTGGAATGGTCGCCGTGGCTGGTAAGTGTAATGATGAGGGCATGACAAACGACATTAATACCGAGGCAGTACTATGAGCCACAAAGCTCTGCAACAGTGACAGCAACAATGATAAATCGAACTATTTATAGATAGATAGATAGAGATACAACGAGCTGGGTGTAGTGACGCAAAACAGATCTGTTCCAACCCCTTTCCGCTTTTATGTCCTAAACGTCTGATATGATGCCCATGAATGGGGCGTCAATATTAACGAAATTCTAGCAGTTACGTAATTATAAAGTAAATTTACTTTTTGGACGGTATTTGTTATGAATGTTGGTCCATCTTGTAAAAGAGGAGTTGTGCGAAACATTTGATAGTCGATGTCGATCAAATTAGCGAATGATTAAATTGGACTATCGGATATTTATATCTTTCTTTTTGCATGTACATTATTTTATTTCGACATACACATGTGTGCATGTGGGTCTTAATGAGTGGCTCTGTAAGCACATGCCCTGGAAGTATGGTGCATTGAACACTAGCCAGGACTACGATCTGCTCTGAGGGATAATTTCGTCTAATAAATTGTGTCGTTCATATGGCACCGCCACCACTTCACAGATCGTAAAAAAAAAATAAGCAAAAAGAAAAGTGTTGATGACATGTTCAAGTAGTCATCACAGACGGGTACCTTTTGCAATTCTATTTACGTGCACGATGATTATTTGTACTTTTACATTGCCAGTGTGTTTTTTTTTGTTTCGTGCAGTGATTTGTTAACTAGATTTAGTTAGGGCTTATTATTTTCCCTAGCATTGGCAATGGGTGCAATAATGAAAAAATTTGTCTGCGAAAGCGTTTAATCTTCTTCTTCTGTTAGGTCGTTTTCAAGCCATTGCCTTCCTGTGAAGGCCTTTGCGAGTCCAGAATAGCTGTTAGGATGCTAACCCTTCAAGGCCTCCAACATCAACCAGCAAATTACAGCTGGTGACGAACCTTATCTAGTGACATACCAAAATGCAAAGTGTTTTTATCACTTTCAATCTTTTTGTTAAAGCTGTTTATTTGTTATTCGGCTGATCGATCGTATGGAGACTATATGTTGCCTTCTATGTCACGCCAGTAGTGCTTATTAATTTACCCACGACACAGTGCAGCAGTGATAACGTGTCCAATGCAACGTACACATTTGTTATGCGTATTCTGTGCTTAGAACTTGTTGTCGCCTCGGTGATTTCTGGCTGTGCTTACCATTGTGCCTATGCGACCCGTTTTGTTTCGTCGGACTTTAGGAGAGGCCTGGGCTATCATTTGATGGCCGTCTCGATATTACTAGACGCTATCGAACATTCATTGATAGTCAAATATGTCAAGGTCGTGTGAACTTATGGCGGCAGCTGCGGCGGTAACATTAATAAAAAGACCTACACGCCAGAGGAAGAATTATACCGGCGCTGATCGAGGATGCAATGCTTGTTGACGCTGACGGCGACTGCGATAGTGGTATGTGTGACAATGAAAATGTGGTAACGGAGTTAATTGTGTGGCTGTTTGGTAGTCCAAGGGCATCGAAGCACCAAAGAAAGTTTGATAGTGCTGACTATTGAGGCCGTGTGTTGTTGTTGATTTGTTGACTCAACGCTGACCTTGATGACGATTCAAAGGATCGACAACAAATGAAATACATATAACCGCGTTGATCAATGAAAACATACGCCGAGCGAGAGGAAAACAAGTTGTCGTACAGCGAGGTCTTTCGGTTGTTTTCAGTAGACACCGTTGGATACTATTGTCATTTTCTCTTTCGCTGATTTTTAATTGCGATGGATGGCTGTGATGAGATGTGATGTCACCATAGAAATTGAGGAAATTTTACATCATGAATTAATGGTCGATGAGTCATATGCTATATACGGGGCCCGCATGCTTTTAGAAAAACACTTAGATTATAGTTGTTTTAGTCTATGTAATATAGGAAGCACGAAGAGAGTACTAGGTCGAAAACGTTTTGAGCTGCCGGCTCTGTACTGTCTGCATATACCTCTATCAAAAATACACCTCGATTCTGCTCTCATTGTTTCCGAAACGTTCTTTATCTTTGAGAGTTTCTTCAGGTATTTTTAACCTTTGGAAGGAGGAAACGCTTGAAGTGGGCTAAATCTGGCCAATACAGGGTTGGGGCAAGGCAGGCAAAGCGATATGTGGAATGCTACATTACGATTTGTGCTCTCGATGTCGTAGCGCACAACTACCCGAGGCCTTTCAACCTTGTCAAGTCTGGACTCATTACCTGTAATGGCGCACTCTTTTTGTTTGAGTACGTTAAGATTCTTCTAAGACACGTTTTATAGGGCCTGCGTTTGTTCAAGATTCCAGTCCTGTGGCACGATTCTTGCTAAACAGCCTTCCAAGACTAGTCTAAGTTGTTTTGGTTGGGATGTCCAACTACATTACGGGTCTTCTAAGGGAGATTCGCCGAATCTTCAATACGAGCTACCTGGCTTCTTGTGACGTTTTTATGCATGCTCTTTTTAACGGAGTGCCCTAAACGACAGTCGGCCCCTACGACCGTGCCCATCAGTTATACACTAAGCATTGATCTAGCCTGGTCCCCAAAAGCCTTCTACAACATCGGGGCTAGTCGTCAGCGTTCAGCTTCGTTCTTTGTGGCGACAAAAACACCAAACCGAGTTGAAAATTTTTCTATTGAAAGACCTTGCAGAATACCAAGCACTTGATGGAGCGTTATAAAGTTTCAATTGTGGATAACTGAAGGGATCGCGAGTGTTGCGCCGCAAATACATTGACGAGTCGGCTATTGGTCGTCAATAGCTAGACATCTTATCAATATCTTTTTTTGACCAAATAATATATGACGTTATCACCGGCAGTCTTCTGGTGATCTTGAACCGGTAATTTGTGAGGTGCACCTGTTGACAACGACAGAAACGAAGAAGAATATAGATAACCTAACTTTTTGAGGCCATATTACGGTGGAATCTTCTGTGGATAATGATACGTGACTCCTTATAACAATGGGCGGTCTGTTGAACAAGTTCAAGTTGTTTTTCTCTTGTAGAAGTTTATTGGAGCACTCATTTCCATTGGCAGCTGCGAACATATATGTAGAGAGCATCACAGTCCATTACACTCAGTATCGCATCCAAGCAAAGATAATTCTCTATGACATCGCAATGTCTACGTCTTAAATTTACTCCTACTATGCCTGATCGTTTCAAAGGCGATGCTTCTTCCTGAAAACCTGAGCCAAAAAACATTGGAGTTCCATTTGATTTAGGTTATTTATTGTATTTATGATAGTGACAAAGCTCCACAGCCCTTAGAGAACACTGAGGAATTGACCGAATGCGGTCATTGATATAAAATCCAGCTTATGAAAGTTGGATTAAATGAGAGATCATCGGGGCTGTGTTATTTCACCGATGAACTAGGAAGGACACTTAGATTACTACGGCTTCAAAAGCACCTGGCAATTTTTCTGTCGCAAGCATTTGAAAATATTCTTGGTAGCTAAGTGCACAGCAGACATTGAACGTGTCCGTGATGAGCAATGTCTAAGTTTTGGGGTTTCACTTTTGAAATTTTCAACAGGGTGGCACCTTACTTGGAGATCATTTATTGGCAGAATATCTTATTTTTCCATTCATTTTTATTTAAGATTTTCTTTTTGGTTCGCATTATTCAAAACGTTCATTGTCTGAGATCCCATCTTTGCGAAAATCTAGGACATCTATTAAAGAGTTTGAATACGCTTCGAAATAGATGATAACATTTTTATTATGGCAGTCACAAGCCGTGACTCGAAAAGAATCCGCCATTTAGCCTTCTCAGCCAAACTGGCGCAGTGCCATCACTCGCAGACAAACGCCTTTCAAATATACGAAGCAATTTAATGACAACAACTCAATCAGTACGGCATGAAGACAATACAAACAAGGGAAACGGTTGCGTCGACAGTTAAGAAACTGACTGGTATTCAATATCGACAAGATGAGCGAATACCGCTACCGTTCGAGGCACAATCATAGTATCACGGCTAGAAAGCTTTGCTGAAAAATGAGAAAGCAATGTCACAGTGTATCAATGGCTACGGTTACAGCGATAACGCAGAGGGAATAGCCGAAGACGGAAGGTGGGAGAATACCGAACGGTCACAATGTCACGTTGGCACAATTTTTCTTTTTCAAGACAACAACAACAACAACAACAGAGGCATCGTCGACTGCGGATGGTAAAATGTAATCGCGGCCTCCCCTACTGACAGCCGAGATAGGGGCTTCAACCCAGTGGCAAACAATCGTATACAACATTAGTGGGGTGGCAATGAGGAAAACATAAACCCACGAAACCCAAGAGCGTAGACATATTGTGGTGATATCGAAATAGCGCTCGATGGCAACTAAGATGGCGACCGTTAAAAATCAAGCCTTGTGCTCCCAACAGTCGGTACCGCCCCGTCGATGAAAGACGACGGGGGCGGATGGTTGTCGGGAGGGCGGCTACGATGAGAAAGGGGAATCGGGGGTTTGGCCGAGGCAAAGCACGCGAGCTGTCCATGGCATCGCCGTCTACATCTGCAGCATGATAGGCAAAGGCAACTTCATTTCAAGATAAAGAAGCCAGCGATATGTGTCCGCGGTGATGATGCTTTCAACTGTGCTAATGCTACTATTTTGCCACCATTAGTACAACAGTTTGCACGGCGCTCGCTTAGGAGGGTCTTCATTCAGTGTTTACGCACAGTGTCTATGAGTCTCACGTATCGCAAAGCAATGCTACCGTCTTATTACAGTAGCAAAACAGTGGAGCGTCACGATGGATCGGCTAGATTAGATAGCTGAACGATGGCATAGGAATCGTGTCACAAGGCGCGGCCATGATGCCGCGACGTTGACAAACGTCACCAATTACTATCCGTTCGGTAGTCTTTCGCAACATTTCGTGTACGCCATAGATACCTTCCCCCGCACCACTGCTTGCCTAAATTGCAGCCGCTAGTTATCGTGTAGTTAAAACGATACGGTTTTTAGTCGGTAGATCGGCGCTGGGATAGTTACTGTGGGCGTTGCCATACGGCAGCCGACTCCAGCCAAAACGATTAAGGGAAAAGGCGAAATAGAAACAACGATGTGTGGAGGCTGGATATTTTTTTTACTCCTGTTAGCTAGCTAGCTAGATTGTTTCTTCCTCTATGTGACATTGCCCAGTAGGCAACAATCGTTAACATCAGTTACCGTGTTCTACAACCTGATGCCAATGTTTTGGTTAATATAGAATTTACGGCTCCGAGACAATGCTCATAACATTCTTGTAATTACTCGCTAAAAATAGAATAGTTTTTTAAGGAAGCCGATTGTAAACGACGGGTAATAACTGAGATGAAACGAAAATGATTAAACTATTGGTTGCCAACGGTAGACTTCGGGTGAAGGGGCGTAATTACGTGACGCATGCGGGTCGCGTATATTGGCTGAAAAATATTGGTGTTATTAGACTTTAAGTATTCGCAGAACTCTACGCATTTATTCGTTACATATTTATGTGTGTTCTTTGATAACCACAGATGTCATTGTTCGCATGTTATTGTTATTATAGCAAAACAGTATGTTGTCCCGGGGGTGTGGGGTCGATTCAAATAAGTTAGAGACAACTACGTATATGAAGCAAAATTGTAGGAGTGTGTAACGTGGAAATGTTAGCGTTAACATTATAGTAGATCTAGCACTCACTGGATGACCACTCAAACAAAGTCCAAGCCGGAAAGTTCTAATCGAGGGCGCTTGATATCGGTCTTTTACAGTGGAAGGTGCATCTAAGCCTCAGTTTTGCCTGTGGAGCAAATAGTGTTATACTGTGTAGTGGTAATCGATATAATGCAAGGTGCGACGAACTTATATTATTGTACAGAGAAGACTCAGTTATGGATATCATGCGTATGAACAATGATGAAAGGTTACAGCTAAAGTAAAAGGGTACGAAGCCCTAATGGACATTATGTTACTGAAATATCTTCGGAGACAGACCTTAAACTGCCTTTTCAATCAAATACTGGATATTGTAATAGACACCATCCTGGGATCACCCTACAGGACATTCTCTGTACAAATTTGAGACATTTTATTATCTTATTATTGTTACTATTATCATTACTTTCATTCCTTTGGCCATCACTTCTAGTTTACGTCCGATTTCGAGGTTGTATACAATCAACAAAAAAAAAGTTAACCATTCTAGGTCAATTTGTCTTCACCGTTGGGCAGAACCCGTTTGGGTTTGATGACAAAACAGAAATATTTATTATGTCCCTAAATAGTAATATAAATATGTTTCTATACTCCACTGAAGAACGTAACGTGTGAGAAGAAGTGGGTTCCGAAGAAAATACAAATAATCGGACTGTAGGTTTTCGGAATAGAGTTCTGCGAATAGTTACTATTTATACAAGTTAATAATACAGAAAACATCGAGACTTAGCATAGAGGGACGCTGCAAATCGATTCCGGCTGTTAAATGCCGAGCTCTTCACACCTTGATATTACTAAATACGTTCACCGAGTGACAAAAGCCGCAGAGGCCATTAATGCAACTATGATTGCATGATCATCTCAATTATAATTATTACTACCGGTGTAGGTTCTTAAAGGCGTTATTGTTCTTATTATAAGAAGCAAAGCGTAGTCAACACAGGCTTTCACCGGCACAGTCTGGTAATAATCGTCGTTCATTGCAAATGTCCTTAAAATGGTCGGTCGTAGGCACCAATAGCGCCCAAATCCATCGACCCCCAAAAATCAACGATCAACACCCGGCAGGTGGTTGCAGTAAACCCTGTGCCACTACCCTTGTGTACGAAGCGTTACTCCCTTTCTTCGAATGTCGCTAGCTGGTTGTATAGGACGCTGCCTAGCTACAACGTCTCTGGGCCTGCTGCAAATTACGTTACGTAACATTATCACCCCTCGAAAGATTTGGATCTATCAAAATGCACGTCCACTTTCGTATCAACCAACAGCCAACACATACAGCAGGGCTGCAGGCTTCAGTATACGTAGCTGCGTAACCGTATGTCCCCTGTAAAACAAAATCGATTAACTATTCATTCGCCGATATATACATATAAAGCGAAGCTTTGTTGTACCTCAGCTATAAAATAGTCATTAGTTCAGCATAATTTCAAGTACCGTCGCCATCTGAAACGCTCGAGCCGTGTCGGCTAAAAGAATACAATGGTAATATGACAAGATTTTCTATTTTGCATCGTAGAACAAAATGTCAGAAGTTGATTTGCTTTATTGACTGTAGATAAACATCAAGGGCTTTGTTAGCACACGCTGCAAGCGTCAACGATGCGCTTGATAAGACGCAGAAAAGAGTTAAGTCGAGAAAAATAGATGCTGTTATCGCTGCTCCTATAGAACGTTTACGCGCGCGCAAAAATAAATAGCGGGTACGCAACTGGAACTATTTTGAAAAACAGGTTTATTGTTAATTGAAACATAGTATTTGCTAATATTGTACATCAATAAAAAAACAGGGTATAAAAAAGTCAAGGCGGCAAATTAACAACATCATGTTAGACACGGTACATAGTTATTGCATGCGAAGATCGAAGTTCGCGGTGCCAGGTCTTGCGGTGCAACATTTTGCTTAGACCACGAGTGAAGGCCTGATTGATTACATTTCACGGAGTGGCATATCCTTTCATAAAGGTGTACGTGAGCGGACTCGAATGAAGAAGACCCGAAGTGTTAACGTAACCAATTGAGCACAAGAATAAACCTTCATTGTCCAATTTTTGATGCGGTATGCTATTCTATGTAAGATGTTGTATTGTAAAAGCTGGTTCACTAAATAAATACCACCTTTTCTCGTACCACCTTGCGCGTTCGTTATGCGCATAAACACGCCACCTGCATGAATAGCATTCATAGGCACTAGGACCTTGAGTTAATTTAAAGCCTTTTTTTTTTCGCCTTAAAGGCTCATTTTGAGTGAGACAAGAGAGTGAACGAATAACTTGTCGTTTCTATTAATATGCGCAATAGTCAATTCTTCATATTTGAAAGTTCGTTCATGAAGTGTTGCATACGCCACCATATTTTCCAAGTTCGTTCACATATACACCAGATAAAGGTTCCGATCCGGTACTACTTTGAAGATTATCATCACTACGGAATATATGCATGAAAAGATTCGAAAAAAATCGATGAGCTACAGTAGCGCCTGTTCTTCAATATTAGTTGTACGTCAGAAGTACACTGGACTTTTACTTAGTTGAAATGATTCCACGGAAACCCTTGTATAAGCAACGTATCTTGTTTTCAAAAAATGTACGCGATTCATGACGATGTACGACGCGTACGATATGGCGAACCATTCATGAACAGTATATAAACGTATACTGTGGTATGCCAAATTTTAATTAATTTTGTCTACTGTCTGTTATGTTATGAGGCTATTTTAAAGTTCGCGGTAGGTACAAACTACGTTAGATTAGGAATTCTAGTTCCTTTGAGCTTTCGGAGCATTTTACTTTACTCAAACTTTCAATAATAAATTAAGTTGTCTGCTTACGAAAATGATTCTAATATTTGTAAGCAAAGACAATTATTGCTACTTAATCACTTTTATTGAACCTAACGAAACAGTTAGATAAAATTAAATAGGGATCCTAGCGAGTTTTTTTATACCATATTGATCATATCAAGGACCCGATAATGTTTTGAGAGGTCGCTGCAAGAAGTCCCATTATTAACCGGAGAAGCATTTTGCGCATAGCTTCATAATTCGATTATGATCGCATATATTCGCCTTTTTGTAAAGCTGAATAGCCATTTGTTAGCACCTACTAAAAGTGCACCAAAGTCAATATACCGAAAAATCGTTAGCCGTCTGCATAAACATACAAATGTCAAGGCCCATAAAAAATAGTACCATCATCATAGTACTGTCTATTTGTCTTTAATTAACGCCTGTTCGGTTACGATCCACCTACTACTATAATTTTCAAGAAAAAACAAAGACACGAAGGGTTTTTCTGATAATTTCGGTGCAGTTGTGAAACAGATTTTCAAAGATTCAAACGAACTACAAGGTACCCTAAACTTGATAGAATAAAATGTCTGCCGCAGCGCAAAGCATGAAGCTTACGGCTGTAATTATTTGTTTTATTGGCTAAATCTGATGCCTCTCATTGCAGAAATAGGTATCGTGCAAACCCATTAGACCAAGGGAAAATAGTAACAAGTAGCTTGTTTGCCAAAAACTATTTTTTTTCTTTAGCCGAAGTTTTTGACGGTAGTACAATATATAGTCGAGTGTTTCGCCTCGCGAATTGTCCATTGTAATGTCGGCTAATTAATGAAGACGTCATTTTCACCTCACAATTTTGTATTTGCAGTATCGGGCCAACGAGTGGCAGATAGCAAGCACTGCAAGAAACCTGACGGCCTATTTCCCCACGATCAATACTGCGATTATTACTATGACTGCCAGGACGGTGAAGCCGTGTTGCAGGCCTGCCCTAACGGATTGGCTTTTGCAGGCAAAAAAAAGGCAAGCTATTTCGATACTTAAGTCGCACACTATAATTATCAAAGAACTCAAGGGCAATCTATTTGAAACTTCTGCTTAAGGAGACCAACTAGCACCAATAACAGTCAAAGCTATAGCTGCGCTATTTATGAAACTACCTAATTTCCTATGTGTATAATCTACTTTTTTTTTTATTAACTGTACACGGATGCCTACCCAATTGAAAGTGTAGTTTCCTGCTATAGTGGTATTCAAATTCGGAATGGAAACAAATGGATCTTGCTCCTAAGAAAGACTCGTCTTTTAGCACAACTGAAAGAGATGCAGACTCCGTATCCTGCAAGCACAAAAAGTTTCAGTAGTACTACGTGTTTTACGTTCAGAAACTCATACATGAATTTATCGCACATGTTTTTGGCCAGTTGTTTGTGCTCGATAGGCAATCTCACTGACATACAACGGAGTTTATTGTCAAAGTAAAAATGGCACGACTAACCTAATTGCTGCAAGGCCACCCATTCGTCTTCAGGGTTTGTTAGAGAACTGCGATTATCCCCACAAAGTGGGATGTCCGGATGAAGATAGCCGGGTTATGGGGCAAACTCCGGAGAGTTCAGAGAACTGCCACTGGAAATACGGCATCTTCGCTCACGCCACGTCATGTACTCGCTATTGGCAATGCTGGAATAGTACTGCTACAAATCAGCAATGCCCATTCTCTCTACTGTATAACGATGCAGCTCACGCCTGCGACTGGCCAGATAATGTACCTGACTGCCAGAAACATCGTGAGTTGATTTTGACGTTTGTTTCTTTGCTTTTACTTTAAGGTAAGGCGTTTTCGAGGTCTATACATTGCTACAGTGAAGCGTATATACGCGACTTATCTACTCGATGGCTTGCTTTCATTTACAAAGCCTTTTTCAATTATCTGCTTTTTAATTCATAGCCATATGCAAGGATGTCGCCAACGGTCCTATTCCGATCGAGAAATCCTGTGCACGTTATTGGCTCTGCGTCGGTGGCTACCCTCGCCTCCAGCGCTGCTCTGCTGGACTGGCCTTCAATCCTGACACCCTCAAGTGCGAATTAGACCACACTGTTCCTGGCTGTGAGCCTCCACCGTCCGATGCTGAATCTGACGAAGAAGAACGTTCTGGTCCCAAGCAAAATCCCCGCTTGCAGTCACCCCCGCCCCGCTCGCAGTCGCCTCCTCCCAGATTGCAGCCAGCTCCTCAGACGCGGCCAGTTGCCCGACCCATTCAGCAAATTGTACAGCGTCCATTGCCGCCGTCTCCTCAGGTCGTCCCCGCTCTACTGCCCCCTTCGCAGCCAGCATTTCGGCCAGAACCTGCGGTTCAACAGTTCCGACCTCAGTCGGTAGCACAGCAGACCGAAACCCCTGAATATGAGTACGAAGACGACGAGACTACGGAAGCACCCACCACGCAACGTCCACGCAGGAGGCCCACCCAGTTCGGAAAGTAGGAAACTTGTACACATAACTCTGTGTCCCGTTGGACGATCAGATGTCGTGGATGAGAAACACTATTTGACCGTCATCCCGAAAGGCGACTTCCACATAAAACAAAAACATTTCGTGACGGACAAGCCCAGTCACGTGCTTAGGATCTGCCAAAACACAGATTTCGACGTTACCTCGAGAACTATTTGTTTACCGCGGATAGAAAAAAAAAAAAGAAAATCTCTTGATGAGAGCACTTGTTTTAGCACATGGATGCAATCTTCGGAGGCTCGTAGGAAGGAGTAGCGAGCCCAACAATTTGAGGGGTTAGTAGTCTCCAGAGAATCTAAGCTTGGAGATACTAGAACACCAAAATCAACACTAATTATATAATATTATCTAAAGCAGCGATCTGACGGATATAAATAATCACAGCAGCTATACGGTTGACTCAGCGAAAAATTTATTAATGATCATCAATCGTATCAGTTAGGAATTGATTAGCTGACGAAAAGTGGGCGGAGGAAAAAGAGAAACAAAAAAAAAAACGAAGTTCACGAGCACATTCACAATTGTACATAGTCTGCTACATACGACAGCGACCACATAAATCATCATCGAAGATCGACAACAAGAATGACTCAAAATAATTATAATAATAACAGAATATCTGACCCATATTATGGAATGACATTAATTATTATCATTAATAATATAATAAATAAAGTAACATGTATTGTTTTTTGTGGACGAATTTAGGTGCGAATCATTATATATACGTATTTAGTAAACAGGTAGAGCAAGAAATTTGTGAAATTAATTAACATTATTTTACATATATCATCTTTTCTATATCTAGCACAATTTACAAAAAATCTGACAAACATTTTATTAATCAGATACCTTTATTCATAAAGCGATTAAAATAAATCGGTTATGACAGGTCGGGTTGAACGTAGATTTGTTCAGTGTGACTTGCATAATCAATATTTATGTTTTGTTAGCGCCTAACTATAAAAATAAAATATAATCAATGCAATAAAACAAGATTTTCAGGGCATTTAGCTACAGCACCTTCGGAGTCTAATTTACCTACTGATACAAAGCGCTGCCGCGACCCTGGCCCATGTAGAATTGCTACCGGGACACCATAGATAATAGTTTTGGCTTGTTTGATTTGATGCTCCGATAAAAATGGGAAACTTTGTCGTCTGATAAGCCTTAAGAAGAGTACCTTGTAGCGGTAGGAGTGTCCTTGAAAAAGACCACTATTGAAGTCCTACTGCGCCTTCTGTTTTGCAGCCGTACAAAAAGTCTTCGACAAGTGGTTGAGCTGTACTAGGTGTCTAGTCGACCTGTCTAGAACCGGTACTCTATAGAAATATAATTGCATATTTGAAGATATTCACGAAACTTTCTTATAAATCAAAACAGTCTTTAGCTAATGGTCTGGCGGGATGTTGGATGGAGCCGTTAGCATTACTTCATCCGAGCGTAAAATATGACGTTCATCACCATACGCAACATTATGCATTCATGATGTGTGCAGAAAGCACACAGAGAAAATGGTATGCACAACAGGTAATCAATAAAAAAGAAGCCGACCTCTACGCCCGCCCTATTGAAGTCATGTCTAAATGCCCTGATATCACTGGCTGACGTTTGCTTTGCTTTGTACCACATCTTGTGTATAATAAAAAAAAAAAAAATTATATTGGAAGTATTAGCCAATATAATTGCCACTAGGTTATAATACTATTGCCATATAGAGTATGATGATATATTTCGATATATAATAGAGCAAAACGATGGAAAAATGCTTCAGAAAATACACGTAGATAAGGATAGAGCAGCCGCTTCTTTGGCAGGTTTTAAAGGAATATCTGTAAACGTAAAACGTGAAAATATTTAAGCAAAGGTAACTGCAATATAATCAGCAATTTTTCTGTTAATTGTCGAACTAGCTGTGACGCTTGTTACTAACACTGTGTATTTTTCTATGAAGAAAGCGTGATATTATACATTTATAGTTGCTATAAGGTGACCTGTGTACGAACTTCACCAAAAATCACGTACTCCAAGTCTTATCCGAATGTCCTAACCCTTCATATTCTCTCGGTAACAAGTTAGACTGTCTTTCACAACTTGGAAGCGTCTCAGTCTAGGAAGTGAGAAGCAGCGCCTTTTCTATTTATTTGTCTTTTTCCTTTTGAACGTTTCTCAAGCCAAATTGTAGTGTTTTCTGTGTTGAATTCCTTCCTAAATTCTAATAGCAATCTGAGAGCTATAAATAAACGAAGGACACTGTCAGCTTCGGCATAGCCATAAACATTTCGAGTGTTACATGCAATAATGCCATTAAATATAACTCAAAAGGCTCGCTCTCGGCCTCGGTCTAGCTACAAATTTTAACCTAAATCCCCTCACGTATTCCTGTGTCTTGCAGGCAAACAGGACACCATGGAATCATTGTATATTCTTGCTTCATACGGTCTGAAAACCGCAGAGGATTGTTCTCGTTTGCGTTATATAGTCCTGATTTCTGCTACTTCATTTTATGCGATAATCTATTCAACCAAAATGGTCTTATCTGTAATACTCAGGAAACAGGAGACAATTCTACTGTTTTCTCAGTTGTGGTTTTGCAGATGGGCATAGTGCCGAACGAGGTACGCGTACCCTAATAGTAATTCTCGTTCGTCTTCATTATATATATATATATATATATATATATATATACCAAAAAACAAATCCATTTTTTGTTGGTGCGCAAGAAATTCTATTCGCAAAATCGTTCTCGCTAGAAGATATAGCTTTGATTTTAAAAATTGAAAAGGCATATGCTATATAACTAGCGGATACATATTTAAGCTTCTTTACACATGTATGCGTAGTTTCGTAGTGCTACCTGAAAAGCCAAACAATATTTGTCGCCGCAACCTTCATACATACCTATGTCGATTCTCCACCATATATTTTGATTCATGCGAGTTCCAATACTGGATTGCTCATTGACATCAGGGACTGATGCATCGAACTTCGCGCCTGGAAGTGTTTTGGAAATATAACAAAACTCATCAAATATGTGAAGTTCCTGTCGGTGTAAAATACGTCACAGACTTGTCGGTGGGTTTGATCATTTAATCAGAATGTGATGAAATTGGCAGACTTCGTAAACGTTTCATAGATCTTACTGTCAATCTGACAAATGCCAAGTTAGATCGAATGTTCGCTGCACCCCGTTGAATGATTTGATGAAGAAGCAATAGGCGGTAAATTCATGACGGGTGGTCCTTCTATGCCGACAACGATAACCGGCACGCTAAGCATCTAATACATGTGCCTATGTTTTCCATAAAGCGGTATCTACTTATACCCTATGATGCTCCCCAGAAGTTTTTTCCAAATCCCCAAAATCGGGACCGCCAGTTTTCGCGACATCCACGTTCAGAACAGCGCCGTTCAGATCGCCAATACAGAATGCAGATGCATCGCTGAACTTGCCGTTCCTCATGCATGCCCCAGATGTAGATGAATCAAACAGACAGCGGGGTTTAATTGCTCCCCATGTATTTAGATTTTGTCTCAGTGCAAACAAGCGCTTGAGTAAAGCATTTAGCGTTTGACAGCTGTATAGAATATTACGTGCGGTTAGCGATGTAGTTTGTGTCCTTTAAGAAGGACTTCGTATTGGAAATTAGGCGAAATTAAAAATAGGCTAAATAAAAAAATTAGGTTAAAGTCTTCGAAAAAAAATTCTATTATGGGTAATACCGTAAGCCAAATATTGGTATCTTGCATATATTCAGCTTTGTTGCTTCTGCCACAGAATTGGAAAATTTAATCGGAAAGTCGACTCCAAAGAAGATGATGTTCCGCATATCAATTGGAAATAGTGAAGATTATTTGACGGCTTCAGCATAAGATTGTCGTTGAGATAAAACCCTAGCGTGTACAAAATTATTACTACGGTTTTGATGGAATCCATTTTACCAAGAAGCAAAGATGCGATCGAGCAGCAGAGAATGTATTGATTGATTATAAACACTGAATCGAACAGTTCAGTAAATGGTCTTCCCTGCAACTAACTAAAGATGACTACGCTCAACTAAGTTACTTATTTGGTTAGAATCCATTAAAAAATTAACCAAAAACACAAATTAGCTAATCGAGACTTCAGTGCGATATCAGATTCTAGTCTTTAAATTCAAATGTCGGGAAGGGAAGGGAAGGGGAGGGTCGAATCCCACCTCTGATATCGGTGCCATCAAGTCCCTTGATCACAGGTCTCTAAGATCGAAAAGACTCTCTGTCGATGTTCGCAATGATAACGTTCTCCATCTTTTTTTAGCATTTTAGTTTTATGTTGTTTTGTTAACTTCATTTTTCAAAATGTTGTACTATGAATGTAATGTAAAAAAAATGTCTTGTATTATTATTATACGTCACTAGACAAGAAGTAGGAGCCGTAGCTAAGGTATGTTGCTCTACTGGCGTCGGATATACCATTACAGATGTGATCAATATCTCAAATACAGCCTACAACGGAAAACATTCAGTCACCTACTGTAATTCGTGGACCTAGCAGTCATTGTAAGTGAAAAGCCTTTAGGGTTTAGTCGAGTTAGTATACGAGCCACAGATGCTTTCCCTTGCACGAGGTTTTTAAAGTCATCGGAGATCTCTGCTAGGATCATCGAGTTGAAGGCATACGATGCCGCCAAGGGCATTACTGTCGTAGAGTGGCGTTCACGTCATCTAATTCTGTCTATACTAAAAATATCCGAGCGGGAAAAAATATCGCCTTTCTGACCATTTTCTGTCCACAACTACGATATTCGCTGCTAAATGTTATAGCTTTGCTCGCTGCTTTAATCGCTACCCCGTCAAAAGGATGAGTAAGTGATTGTCAGAGCTACTGAAAAATAATCGGTGTGCTTCGATAGCCTATAAGCATACCTACGACAGATCAAGCCAACGCGTAGTTCCTAGGTGTCGGATCGATTTTCTTTTCATCCCAAAAATAAAGCAAATATTGGTTCACGACGAAGACGCGTAAGTCATTGACTCTCGATATCTGCCGAGTTATCTAGGGCAAAATAATAGAGAGAAAATTGTATTTGTCTTATCGAGTTCTGTAAAAAGCGAAGAAGGAAGGAGTAGTTGTTACAGTTGCAGTGGGGAAAACGAGGTGCTGCTAAAATTTTCTACTCTTATAACTTATATATGTTAACAATCGACAATTTTGGTAATAGATGGTGAATGTTATGCGACACGTGGTGATGATGTTAAATTACGCTCAGTATGAACCGATGCTTTACTCACATCCATGCAGTCTGTATGTATGTACGCGTTCGAAATAAATCGGGACACACCTCGCTCGGTTATTTGTCGTAACGGGTATGCGATGCCTACAATGTGCGTACTATTTCTTGTGTTGTGGAAGATAAACGTTTCAACCATAAATAAATGTAAGAGTAACAAACACTAAGTACAAGGTAAAAGCCACCGTTACAGTCTGGAGGTCTGGATTAAGGTCGACCCCATCAGTGCGCACACAAGATACCCAGATTGCAAACACACGTCAACTACCTTTCTAAACGACGAATACAAACCGATCTGTCACCAGCGTCAAAATCGTCTTGGCTCATTGGCTAGCCGGCCGATGAGATGAACAGTTATACATTATTAGGTCGTCCAGTTCTAGATCTTCACGAAGAAAGGTTAACGAAGCGGTTCTAGTACTGCTTAGCAAAGAACTACAGTGAGGCTAAGGAACGCGAAGGAGCAAAGGAAGATGACACAGAGTCGGATCGGCTCCGCATATACACATTGGGCTGCACTTGTTCATGCGCAGAACTGTGTCAGCGCCGGGTGAAGTAATCGGCGTTGCTGTACTCCTGTTTACCAGGCATAACATCTATCTGCTGGGTCGTATACTTGTTGTTTATTTATAATGGATTGTCACCCCGTTCATCTGTATGAGAATACGGGTTTTCTTATAAGCCGAGGCTCCGTGACGGATACCTGGCGTAGATTTGACGTAACGTTATGGACCCTCTATCCTGCTTTCGAGGAAGCGTAGGACAGCCGTCGATATCATGTCTGCTACTCGGTCTTTTCACAGGCCATAAGGAAAACGTCCACAGCGACCATCCTATATATATATATTAAGTTCGCACATGCATCATGAGAACTGTATAAATTCGTCCACTTGCAAAATATAGCAAACGATCATCGCTTAGATACTGAATATTGCGTTGCAGTTCAACAATAAATATGAATCCGGAAACCCTCTGATCTACAAAATAGGTGGGGTTGTACTTGACTATTCGGGGGTTGTCAATGTTGACCTGTTCACGGTATAAGCAATTCTAGGGATATTCATATAACACAATAAGAACTAAAAAAACACAAAGAAACCTTCTTGAATTAGTCTTCTTCGCACATACGCCTATCATTGCAACTATTATGGTTGGATTTATATGGAGCTATTATGACAATGTCGAAAAGAAGAAAATGTTAGAAAATGAGTCTTATCGCTTGCAGTAAGCGAAGGCGTATGTTAAACTAACGCCGATTCTTGTATCTATTTTAGATCGCATTTAGTATATTACGGGCAAACGCAATTTTCTTATATAAAGCAATATTTTATATGGACGCGGCAATGAAAAAAAAGCTCTATCTTTCATTTATTGCCTCTTCCTCTACATGTTCAATACACTTCAAATACCAGTGATGCGGTGTTATTCTGTGATTTTTTAGTTTGTTGACACGGGTTACATTCAGAGATGCAGGAAGTTCAAAAAGTTACGTTTCAAGTAATTCTCATAGTAGTGCGTTATCTTTCGTACGTTCCGTATATCCTGTAGCAGTTTCCGGCTGTGCGAGAACCCAAACACATAATACTGATATTCGTACGTGCATCTTTTAGAGACGATATGCATTCTATACATAATTATACATTTGAGCATACGGTTAGATATAACTGACCATGAAATTAGTATAGAACAGTCATATTACTCAAATCACATATGTAAAGTTTTTTTATGGGACGGTTTTTATGCCCATATCAGGTTTCCACGTGCACGAAGTGCCCAATCGATTCAAAGCGGCAGACCCGAGGCATAACAAATTCAGGCCCATCAATACTGCCTGTACCGAGTTAGTCTTGAACAAGTTTACAGACTCTGCTATCTGAGTAATCAGAACGAGAAGTGCCAGAATCAAAAAAGATAGCGGGCCGGAAGTCGTAAGACTGCTGATCGATGAGGGATAGAGAGGGCCCACAAAACAGCCAAAAATTACCACCGCTATTTTCGTGGCGCCACAGTGCGTATCAGAGTTTAGTAGTAATATTGAAGGTATGATAAGAAGGGAAGAATAGAACCATAACGAAGAGGATGAAACCCGAAAAGAAAGTAATATCGTTACAAAACGTGATATAGTGAAGGCGATGTAGAATAGGCCGACGAGATGCTGTCCTGTGGCTTCATCGACAGGCTTGCCTGTAGCTTCGAGAAGGTAAGGAATATTTCTCAAAGCAAATGATGTGAGCGCTGTACTGGAGAACACTCCGATGCCAGTGAGGATGACGCGGCACTTCGATGCTGTTAGCGGTGCCGGCGTACTCGCAGGGGAAAGGATCAACACGACACAGAACACAACGGCGACAACGATAGTCGTTCCTCCTGCAACGTATAACAATGACCTAGAGAAAGGCGCAGTATTCAATTAACAGCTGTGAATCCGATGACCTGGATAGGAAAACCGGATTGGCCAAATGTTTTAGCGTATCATTTTTAGGAAATGAGCCTCTGTCTAGCAATGATACTGAAGTGTACCTAAATTCACTTTTGGGCAGTTTCGCAACAATGTTATATGAAATTTTTGACTCTTGTGGAAATTTTTTGCGAGAAATATATTGTAATAGTAGTTAGGTAAGCGCTCAGGTCAGGTCAAACACGAACCTTTCATCTGGCTGTTGTACGTGGACAATAGTAGCAGCGAGGAGCTGTCCTAGTGAGCTGAATGCGTTGAACAAATAGATGACAATACGTGAAACTGAATAGAAAACCGCCTCATTTGTTCTTGAATAAATGGCTACCCTCCAAGTTGACAAAACCAAGTAACAAAATCGACAAATACAGATGAAAGTTAGCTGGTTCCTCTATTTTGAGCGATATACAGCACCTTATCTAAATTCCTATGGCTGAAAAGGCTATTAAATCAAAATAAAAGGGTCTATTCGTAGTAGTCGGTGTCATCAAACAACGTTTTTATTCAGGACACTGTGAACACGGTGAATTTAAAACGGCTGATAGACATATATGTCTACCAGCCGTTTTATTAAATACTAACCGATTTCGACGACTGACTGGCACGCACCGATAATACAGGCCAGAACGTGAGCTGACGCTTTAGTGAAGCCAGTAATCGGAAGCGTCAAAAGGATCGCACCTCGCCCAAGAAGTCCAATCAGGCTTGTCGCCTGTAGTATTCTAACCCGAGAATGAATGGTCGCCACTGGCAAGAAATGGGTGAAGTTGAGTATTTTAACTATCCAAAACTAAAACCAAAACTGGCCTAAAGGCAGGGTTTTATTAAGCTATCTTGATACACGCGTCAAAGAGTCAAGGTATGGATTTCTTTCAAGTGTTGCTTTTATCAGTCGGTTCTGCCTGGGTCTTTTGGTTGCTCTAGTGATCGTCTGAATTACTTTAAAAACAAGTGCTTTCACTGTTTCTGTATTATTTCGCATGAAACAGGACTTATTCTGCAAGTTTTGATAAAATGTCAAGAACGAGATGTTTGCGTTCTACGTTTAATCTATATATAATGCTATTTGTACCATTGATAAGGTAGATAAAGTTAAGGTTATATAATTTATCTTCTTATTTACAAATGTACTGGCTGACTCTAAGGGTTTTTTGTCAATATAGGTTTGTAGCTGTGCTTCTCAGGATAGTCGACCAATATCTTCGTTTTTATTTTTCCTATTTGTATAATCTTACTATTGAAAGTTTTATCAATTTTTCCCGACTCTTTTCGAGTGTTTCGAGTGCCTAAGGTACGCTAAACGATTCGTTGCGTGTTAGGTAAAACCTATAAGTACATCTAGAATGTATAGTAAGTTTCAAATACAGAAATCAAATTTCTTAGTTTGTTTATTAGGCAAGACTCACTAGATAAAATAAGCTTAAAGCGGCATATTTCCATTGCAATAGCATATTTACAAAGCCGCAATAAGGAAGAAAACCAGATATATGTTGCTGTTTAATTTTCTAAATAATAATAACTATTTTCATTATGAATCATCATTTACTTCGTTAGCTAGTCTGTCTGACTACCTACGTATATGAGGAGTAAATTCTTCAGATTTGATAATTATAACTTAGTAATGGCATGATTATTCAGCCACAGCTTAGCTCAATCTCCTTAATCAATAATATCGATCAGAGCTATTGTGCATTGATAGAATAAAACCAAGGGTAAATTCAAACCTGTGATGTGTACTTCCTGAACGATGGATAGTTTTCAATAACGTTAGATAGTTTTTTTTAATCTATTTTATGTAGCACAAGGCTGCTAATAATCTGTCTCTTGATCTTATGCTACGTATGATGAGTATGCGATTACGCACGAAAGTGTTTTAACCAGACAACGTTTGCCATTTTCGTTCGTTGCACGTCTCGTGGGCACCTAACATTATTCAAGGTAAAATCAATTCCAATGAGACATTTTTTGCCCTGAACATCGAATAACCTCAGACGAGACTTTCCCGCTAGTACTTACCTACAAAACATGACAAAATACTGCCAGCACGTACACCAACGTGAATACAGCCCACACTGAGAAAGTCAAAATCATCCTTCAGACCTGATAGATCAGAGCCACTCAAGTGGATTACTCCATCGGTCAATCCCTGTAGAGATGATTTGAAAAAATGTTACAAATATGCGTCCATTACATATGAAATCAGACGTGTGCAGCCATTTTACCTGCGTTACAATTGTATCATACAATAAAAGCTTAATTTTATTAGGGCACTTGTTATAATTTGATTGATTATAATTGAATTTCAAATTGAATAATAATAATAATAATCAAATAAAAAGCCTAACTGATAAATGCGATAACATTTATGTTGCTAGATCCAGTGATACATTCGCAAGCGAAATTATCCCCACACCTTTTGCGTGATACTAAGAGGGTTACAGCCGTCTCAAAAATGACGTGCGACACCTGTGTCTACATATAGGGTATAATTTTGAATTGTATGTATCACTCTGAGTGACGATTTTTCATAGAGTATTTCTGTCGGGCTTTTTAGTCTTGAGACATTTGAGAATACCGGTAAAGCCACCCCTAAAAAGCTCAAGGACGAATCAATTTTACCGTTGATGATAACGCTAATTATTCCAACGTTGTATTCTGTTTATCAGAAGTTTTGATTAGACATTAACTATCAAGGCTAACTAGTTATTCATTTGATGATACCCAGGCGATCGTCGTAGGTTTGCTTTAAACCACGCCCACGTAACTAGCAGCCGAATACGGCTTCGAGATTGGAAAAAGCGGAGCAGTACTGCCTATGTATGCAATACCTATATAAACGACCTAATCCAAATGAGATTAACACGCCTCTTTCGTTTTCCACTGTACGTCCTTGTTTTGTTATCAAACCTGTGCTATAGCAGCGAAGATGACATTTAACGCGCTAATGGCTGTCAAAAACATTGTGAGAAATTTCGTCACATCCCGTCACAAAGTTTTCACCAAAAATTCCTTCGTTATTCCGAAGTTGCCATCATTATATACGTGAAGCGGTACAACCGGAACACGTATGAATGACTATGATATGATTATATTCTATATGTGATAAATACTGAAGCACGTTACTATTATTCAGATTTCTGTCACGTCAGGCACTTGCAAACTATCGGTGCGAAGCACAGCAGCACTTTCGGCTTCAACTTGAACGTCGGCTAAAAGCTTCTAGTCAACTGAAGTTCCACACGCTCCTGTGATCGGCTTCTCGTTATGAAAATGGCTATCAGAGGGACCCTTCCCTTGACTGAACCCCTCCTCAAGTTTCGTCGTTTCAAATATTTCTTGTAGGCCCCTTGCTTTTATCATCATAACCATTATCACCGTTATTACTGAAATTCTAGTTTCTTATGTCTGCTTTTGAAATTACCTTGACTTGAAGTATTTGCGATGCCGATAGCCTGATAGATGAGTTACATATTAGAATGAAAAAAAGCAGCAGCTTAGGCGGGTGATTGTTGCTGAATGGACAGAAAAGGAGCCGTTTGCTCATCTATACGCAAATGTTTGTGCGTGCATGCGTATGTATGTGTGCGCTTGTATGTGCGTGCGCGAAGGATGAAGGTAAGTCAAGAGAACTTCAATAAAGAGAAGATGGCTTGAAGTAGAAGGCACGAATCAACAAAAGAAATGAAACGCCGTCAGTAGGTAACGATGGATCTGTAGGGACAATGAACGCTCATCTTTTCTACTGATCTCCTGCTGATCCATTCCCAGTTCTGTTTAGAAGTTGCTTAGTTATTGGAATCGACGTACATAAAGATCAATTACAGAATAGATCAAGGCCGTGGCCTGATCAAGTGCGAGGAGTTTTATAGTTGCGTTTGCTTGACAATTCTTAATAAGCACGGACGTAAAAATCGTTGCCATACTTACATATTTCAACAACCAGCATTTACGAAAGGGTAGTTACATCAATTTTCGAGGTCGGTGTATCCGATATCACAAAGTACGGAGGGCTGTAACGCAATTGATAAATATTATATTATACGGCACTCATTCAAAAATGATATTTGCGCTATTAAAAGTAAAGTGAATCTTACAAGCATCGAACAGTAATATATATATAAATAATGAACGTGTCAAGGGCTGGTGCTGCGGTTCAATTGCCGCCGGTAGCTACAACTAGTATTGCATTTCCAACCCACGAAGAGTAATGGTGTTCCTTGGGCCTGATATTGCTCGTTATCCCTTACATTTAGAACGCTAGTCATTCCGCGATGTTAATATGGGTCTAATGTTTGGATAATGGACAAAATCGATTATATGAAAAATAGGACACGATACGTAACTAGTGGTCGAATGAACTGAAATCGTAAGCCTTTTCTCTTCATGGCAATTTGTTTGCTGATATCTATTCCACAAGCCACAAGCAAGAAAAAGTACCACTGGATTTTATACTTATTTGAATGTACGCTTTCCTTCTAAACAGTTATTTTGTTTGTGTCAAAGCAATAGGTTTTGTGTGGCCGATAATCCCGTGGATACTGTCATATTTAATTTTTTCAGGCAAATTATGAGAGACTCTGTAATAAGTTAGTGCTCGTCGGCCAGCAGCATCGGACGCAAGGCTCAAGACGATGAACTACATAACAAAAACACAATGGGTAGCTGCAAATTGTCACGCACAAACTCGGCGCTTATACAAGAGCATGGTATAGGTTGGTCGTCTTTGAAGTAAAGAGGGAAGATCATTTTTCGTACGTAGGAGTTAATGGCCAGTGAACACCAAATGCAAGACTTTATGGTCGTTCGTGGGTTGTGATTAAAGGCCAAAAACGTTTAAGCGATATGGCAGGGCCCGAAGATTCGATTGAGAGGATCAATATAAGAGATAAGAGTAGCGTTTCAAGCTAACAAATGTTGATATATAAAAAGAAAGTAGATAAATGAGATTAATTGTAAACAGATTGTTCTATTGGAGATTTATATAGGAAATGCTTGACTTTAACTTCTTGTAGCGAACGGGATTCGTAGTTCGAAACGGAGGTTTTTGCTGTCTTTATTAGAACGTTGTTATACCTTTATATACGTAACATATATACCGAAAGGCCCATGACTAATAAATTCCCATTAGACGGTTTATTCTGTACTGTGTATGGCCTGTTCTACTTGACGTAATCGGTGACCCCTTGCTACAATATTGGCTCAGTCTAAAATTAGACTAGACACTATTTGTAATGCCGGAGCAAATAATAGGGCATCTATAGGAAGAGGTTACGTAAAATAATAATAAAAAAACAGTAAGAACTACATTGGCCATAAGGGAGATTACACTTAAACCATTTTTCGCGAAGAAATGAAATGTAACGTTGAGGAGAAAGTGATCGGCAGTACGAACTAGCCAACTGACAGATACGATGATATGCAGAAAGTAATAGCGGTACCGTACTACTGAACATTTATACAAATTCTCGAAATAGGATGGTTTACGGTAAAATAAAACGCTCGAAATTTGCTCAGGTGTTTATTACGACACCTTCTGGCTTGAAAGTTTCGCTCATTACATTATTTTTTATAATATGCCTATTTACATGCGCGCCGAAGGCGGATTCATTCGTGGAGACCATGCTAGATGCACTAGTTTCCAGAAGACACACTGTTAATCGATTCGTTGCTTTGGACGAAAGCTCTTACGGCAAGCAACAAAAGTAACTGCAAAATGGTCAACGTGACCAGCCGGCCCGCAGTTGTTAAAGTTGCATTTTTAAGAAATAGAAGTTGTAGTTTTATGTAACAGTCTCGCCTCGTCCTGCGCCAAGCAAACCTATTTTATTCATGATATTAAAATAACGCGCTACATGCACAGCGAATCAGACCAGCTGGAACAGGGAAATTCTTCACGGTTTCGTCTAATCTTTCAATGACGTTTGTTCCCTGGCGTCACCTGTCCTACTCATTTTGCTTTAGCCTCATCACAAAATACCTGCACAAAACGTACCTGTTATTACAAAAGTATCTGTTACAACAGTCGCAGGCGGCTTTTTTGATGGTGCATTTTTTGCACCGTAAACTGCGTCCTAGGCGTTTATTAAGCGCGGTACAATCGAGGACGGTAGTTGGCCTAACGTGTTGAAACGTCTTGCAGGGGAAAAGACCTCGCAGAAGAGTTAAAGGTAAGCCGATCATAATACTTGCACTCCGTCGCTGAAACGATTGCGCCTATCAAGTGGGTACATGCTGTTGAGGTTGGAACAAACAGTATTTCTCTCTGCCGTAAACAGCCACCGTAAGCAGTAAATGTAGATCCGATTGAATCGTTATTGATTGAAACACAAGTGCTGGTAAATCTAAAAAAAAGTGTTTCAGATCAAATTAACAAGATATATAAAATGGGCCTAACTAGCTTGTCGAAGTTCTCGCTCGATTTTTCGATACTGGACATCTGAAACAACTGGCAGCTTAAATGTAGTGTTGCGTTTTAAAATAACTTCATAAATCCGGGAAAAATTATTTTGGCCAACTTGTTGTTGTACGGTATGAACTTGCAATATTTATAGGCCTTTTGCCTTAACCGTTCAAATGGCTGAATGTTATATCATATTGTTTCAAGTGGAACAGTATGGTATGCCTGCAAACGTAATTTATGTCTCTGGACACGTTTTGTGGAAACGACAACACCTGAAATAACCTACTTCCAGTTCTTCATTGAAATCTGTTGTTGAGCAATAGTTCAGCTAGTATGGTAGTAACAATCAGCTAATCCACACGTACCTTTTTCATGCATAGGGCATTCCAGTAATTTCCAGCTAACCTTTTTGCGCTCGAAAAATAAAGCAAGAACTAAGTTAGTCTACATAGACAAAGAGAAGCTAAATATTACATACGGTGATGCAAGATAGAAGCATATCCCTAAAGCCTTATATTTAGAAAACTGTCAACTCCTGGAGACAGCGTTAACGTATTGATAGCGATATTGTTTGTTCAAATCGAAACTTGAGTGGTTTGTAAGCTCCTGTCCAATAAGTTCTTAAGTTCGATTTGTTACTATGAATAGGCTCTTCGATTGTCCTCAGTAAAGAGTAGTTATTTTCAGATGTAAACTTAAATTCACCACCGATTTATTTATTTATAGAATCCGCACTAGAGAAATCAAGCGTTGGCCATCGCAACTACAACAGGCTATCCTGGATATGACTCAAACTTTCGTCAAACCTTGCCTTTGAAGAAATAGAAGAACTGGTTTTTGTTATTCTTGTTTACATAAAAATACCTGAGCTAGCAGAACCACTCTAGCTTTCGAGTTTTATGTCTGGTATCCCATCAGACAGGCAGGTCGGTTGAGCGAGCAAAGGGAGTGTGTCTACAGCCGTGTTTTAACCCAGACTACAATGTGTCCGTAACACTGGGAGACAACTCCATTACCCCACAAAGCTACAATAGAGACAGGTTATCATAACGTATACATGATTTTGGAGGCTTTCTTGGATATAATTTTTTTATGAGATAAAAGATAGTTCTTTTTAAAAATTGTGTGCTACCATACCAGAAATAATACAGCATAATACACATAGAGCGATTGTCAATAGTGGAGAAATCAATGGCAACGAGTGGCAAATAAATGGTGTCTATGTAGCATATAGTTACATAACTATCTGTAGGTACTGTGACATTAGTACGACATTTGTTGTTTCCGGGTCCCAGTTTTTCGTTCTGTCTTGCTGTGAAGATAAAACGAAATGAAGATATCGAACTAATATAATAAACAACGATTTAAACGGCTGTTTTCTAAACCGATAGTCTTTGCAAACACGTATAAGATATGTATACGTAAGATCATTGGTTGTTTGAGTCGTTTTTATAACCTGCACGCGTTTTATTCTTTAGCTGGGCCTGTTTCAGCATGACGTTCCCGAAGTTTCATAGACGACCCTGCGTGGCCAAGCGTGCGCCCGTTTCGCCTGGAAAAGATGATAAATAATGCATTTCCTATTCGTCCGCTGTGTGTGCTAGATTCATGTATATGCTAACGTACATACGCTGTTTCTAACTCTACGGATGCTTGAGCCATCTATTGAATTAAATGATCTCAGTATGAACGGTCATCGAAAAAGTTGTGCTCTTCGATACAAGCATATTTGTAGGGTTTAAAATAAATATTGCAACGGTAGTTCCACAGGTCAGACTACTTAGATCATTACAAAAGCGTCTATTTCTGTTCAGTAGTTGTCTGCTACCGTTAAAGGAAGACAGAGACATTTCTACAAATGGTTATAGTGCAACAATCATAAGCTGTCTACTTTTGGGAGAGAATTACACCGCGTCATAGTCTTTTTGAGCTGAAGGCACATGGTCATCATAACTATGTATAGTTTTGATCTATTTATCTATAATAAAGGGAAACTATTTTCGTACAGTTTCACATCGTACACCAACGTAATACTTTCTATTCACTACAATATCGTTTCAACGACTACGTAATAATAAACAAGTAACCCAAAGAATGAGGATCCACCAACCACGCAACTACAATTATTAACTCAATTTGACGCGAGAAAAGAAGATAAAAAGATGAGCCTTTGCTATCCTGTCTTCACGGGCGATGCATCTGTCAGTCTTCACGATGAAATCCTACCACGGAAAAGGCTGAAGACATAGGATAGGATAGGAAACGTGTCTACAGTGTGTCTCAGGGGCTTTCGAGCAAAGTGAGACACGAGCTCAGAAACACCAAAAGGAGGACAACAGCAGCCAAACAAACAGCAGAATTCTTTAGCACCGCGCACTTACCCTTCCCGTTAAACCCACTCTCTGTGCCCCGTTTTTCATACAACGTTATAGGCAGTGGAGATCAAGACAGTGACACCGCTTGAAACGGAGGCGACCTCTCCAGGACAATAGGAAAAAGTAGGCGGAGCGATACCTCTAGTTGGGGCTGGCGAGGTGACACGGTCGCCTAACCACCTCACACGCTGCTCTTCCACCAACAGGCCCCTCGCTTATAAGAACGTTATGGCCACTGATAGATCACGTCTCATAGGAAACGGCACGTGCACACGTCCAAACAGATGCATATAGTACACGGAAAAGGGCTTGAGGGGTTACATTACAAGGCTAGGTCTTTACAGTGCCAGAAAATAACGTTAACATGAGGCGGAACAAAGTACGATCCTAGTATCGAATGTTTCAAAGCTAAAGCCGCTCTTTTCTTCCACGATTTGCCTTCATGCGTTCCAGCACTTGTATACAGAAACACGGTCAATCCGAGAGCGCGACACCTAGGAAAAGAGCAATTGGATAGGCAAAAAGAATAGAGGCAAAAGAAGGAATGAATGACGCAATACTGTTGTGACTGAAACTTCTCATTGAATGTTGCTTCCATTGGATAGTAAGTAATTTTGTTTCTTTACACTAAGAACTAGTCATCGTGTATTTGTTTTTCCTACACGTTACTCTTCTTTATTATTTGGAAAGGGCAAACTGAATAAAGTATGTAGTTCCCCGACGTTTTGCCACTTGAAATTACATTGGTAGTTCGAGTTGTTTGTTAGGCCGTGTTATGGGCTGTTCACGCAAAAAAGTGGCTTATGTGAAGGTCACATACCAAGATTAGCTGTATATATGTGTTGCAGTTGAAATGGCAAACTTAGAACTTCGACTCACTGTGCAACTCAGTCACCTGTTCTCCACTCCTAGCCGATTTCGACATGGCCTGTAATTGAACAGGCCATAAAAGAGTGAGTCTAAGTGCCCATCTCGTGCTGGCATGTTTACCAGAGACGTGACTAAGGATAAATACGGTTCTGAGGTACCCTTGTTAGACCCTATTGCGCCGCCTGATAAATGAGTACGTTTTTCAATCTGTCTTTTTAAAAACTACAGTCGCAGTGAGGTCGTGTCCATCGTAGCAATTGTATCGTCAACCATTCAAATAGATTAAGATCGAATAGCAAATAATTTCAGCTTAAAAAGTACGATTTTCAAGAGGCTCGCTTATTAACTTGGCTACTCGATGATGGTCACGTAAGTACCTAAATGGGATATTACTACGCTCGACAATCAGAGTAAGAGTATAAAGAAAAGCTGCTGACTTCTTATGAGTATTTTTTCACTTTTATAGCATTTATAAAGCACACATAATGGAAAGCCTAGTAAATTACTACGACCATACCAAAAATGTAGATGTTTGCCAAAAGCAGGAATCAATACAGGCACATAAAAGCAAAGCGGAAAAATGTCTCATAGCGGAAAAAGAAGCAAATTATTATAAAGCGTTGCTTCAACAGTACAAAGAAAGGTGCAGATCACTAGCTTTATGCTGCTAATAAAAGTAATGCCTAAATAATACTCTAAGCAATGGTTTCCCAAAGGCTAACCAACTATTGTGGGAAGGCTATAGGAGTTGGCTTTGTCCTTAGAACCTTCACTGAATATTCAGGCGTTTGCGACAGATATTCACAAGATGGCCTTTTTACCCTCAAGGGAACTCACGCACCGGTGCGCAGAGTGTCCGTTCAGATTGTTGATCGTATGCTGCGTCAGCCAGCCTTAAAATACAGGTGCCTGAATACTGATCGGTGAAAATGCTTATGGAAGAAGGAGTAAATTGGATAAGAACCAGACCGTGAAAAAAAACACACAAACACGTATGTATGCTATATAATAAGCCGATATAATATGCATTTATGTTTTTCATGTTCTAATTTTTGCTTTTATTTGAAAGGTTCTAGTAATTCTGCCAGGGAATGTCTGTTGAATCGTACATACGTAACGCAGACAAACTAATTTTTTTACGTATTAGCCATAAGTTATTTCCTTTCCTGTATGGAACAGCCACTACATTGACAGCTCAAATTAAATGGTTTTTCTTGTTAAATCTAAGTTGAATAGCCAATAAAACTGGTGGTTTGCGTTTGACTAACAATGTACCTTATAACCACGTAACATCCAGTTGCTTAAAATAAGAAACGGCTTTTTTCAGTATATGAACACATACGTTTTTCTGGAAAGCAAAAAAAATGTAACACAAAAAACATTTCTTTTTGATTACTAAAGTAAGCTTTGCCATGACGTACGTCTGCGGCTGCGTATACACACAAACCCTGCAAAACATTGGTAATAATCAGTCAAAATTTTTAACATAGCGTCTATGTATTATAATACATCCCGACATGATACATCCATCCGTACAGAAAGCATCCGATTCTATCTCTGCCCATTCACTTGTGTCTATCCGACGCATTTTGGAGCGTTTCTATCGTTGCCGCTATCCTTGACGTAGTCCTCTTCTCCTTCCTCTTTCTTTCCTAAGTAATAGTAGCACGTGAGTTCAAGCAGGCCTGTCCGATTGCTCATTTCGTTGCAGGTAGCAGTAGCAACAATACTCTTCAACGGCAGCAGCAGTAACAGCGTGACGCCGAGCCTGCTGACCTAACGTTCCCCTAATAAAGTTGGTTCATTGCCTCACCGCCTACCCCCGATTTCAGTGGCGGCTAATGACTAGAGAGCGGCTAATAATTTCCCAACTATGCTGGTCTGTATGTGCTACTAGTTTCCTAACCTCTGACGTCCAGTTTGCCTGAGGGGCTTCCAACTTGCGTCCGACATGGCGTGTGCTCCGTGGCAATGCTGGAGGAGGTAAACCTCTCCCTGACTTAGGATAGTGGGCGAGGGGGGTCGAGGATATTATCAAGGCGTAGACCTTGATGGTCTACGGAGGACGGCAAAAGAAAATGCGTTAGAGTATAAGACGGGGATGCGGGACCGGAGAAATAAAGCAACAGTTCATGGATTCTTCGTCCTCGGCCTCCTTCTCGTCGTCTACTGCGGCCACCGCTGCTGGCCGCCCATTGTTACAGCCATTTTTAGTCTGTAGTGGGATGTTGATGCCTAAAAATGAGCGCATCCCCAGATCCAAAGTAAGCCGAGCAGCATCTAGAGGCTAAACTCGGCAGTTCATCCCTCTGTCACACACATGTTTCTCCGATATCCAAGATCTCAACTAAGAAAAAGCTTCCTGCTGTCTTTTTTCCGATCCCCGTTCTTGTTCTATCTTTTGCCTACCTACGACCTCCATTGTTGATATTTGTCGAAACCCTTCGCTGGACAATGTGATGATGACGACAACCTGTACTGTAGCAGCATGTAGAATGTCAGGCTTCGGTCCGTTCCCGTTCTCCGCACCGTTCACTCTCTGTAATTATAGAGCCTCATTTCCTCTTATTGTAGTAGATTAATAACGGATAGCGTCAAATAGACACGGTCCTATCGTGTTGCGAACGCAGTTAACGGCAAAAGTAGTTGTCCATACAGCAGGCCTGAATAGAATGACAAGTGCATTTTATCTGGTTATACAGCAATGTTATGTGGGTGTTATGGAAAAAGACAGAAATGCATGTTATATAACATCATTGCATGCTATGCAATGATGTTATTTAAGGTCATTTTTGATTAAGGAATCAACAGTGATGGTATTTAAGATAATTTCTTAATTTCTGCGGGAACCCGCAATGATATAGATCTACGTAGATATAATAAAGTTTATACTGTACACAAATTATGGCAAACTGACACGAGCAGCCGTAGGTTTGTTTAGTAGAAATGTATCGTGCAAGCTTCGTTGTAGTTTTTCAAAGCAAAAATGTTCGGCTCTGTTACGAACACAAGCGGACCGACGGCATGGAGCCCTATTGTACTCGTAGGACCAAACAAGGCCGATATGATTTGCAATAATTGTAAAATTTATTGCAGTTCGTCATCTTAGTCGATCTCAAATTTAACTGATAAACGAAAAGGAACTTTCTAAATGAACAAAAAAAGTCTGATTTGTTAAGACAAAACTTGATACGTGGAACACGGGCAACCTGAAAATGGGCCGCAGGAAATTTTTATATAATTTAAATGGCAAAGTATTTGGAGAAAAGAAAATGATAGTATCTTCTTGGATGAAGGGTCTGTGTTAATGTTTGACGCGTATTGCGTATGAATTTCTAGAAGCAGACGCTCATGACAATGGTTTATGAAGAGAATAGTCTCTATCCAGCATAATAATTTAGCACCCGTTAGCTTCTATATCATTGAATTTAAAAGCTTAATTTGAGCTATGCAAGTGCAGAACTCTCAGGGACTAAAAAAACTCTGTCTAAAAACCCTATCTGTGTATTACTATTAATGATAACAAAGTTTATAAATGGTTAGTGCACAGATCGCACATAGATTGTCGAAAGTATTGATTGTTACCGTTGCACTGCATTTATTATGTATGACGGCAATTCAACGATTGCTCTATTGGTTATTTAAAAACATGCTGAATTATATGAATTATTTGTATATGTCTGTGTGCGTATTTTACATTTGTAACTCAGTAATAACCAGGGTCTGAACACTCAGATTCAAGAGATTTTTTAAAGGTCTTTCTTTGATACAAGAGATATGGCGAATGTTATCGATCACATTATTTTTACAGAACCGAACGTAGACGGTCTAGCCAATGATGATACACGTAATAAGCAAAAACATTCCCATGCTCACTCATACGTATATTTCTAATAATTCATTTTTCTCGATAAATTAATCTGAATCAGCGTAATGCCTACTCGCCTGTTGCTAGAGGCATTGAGTTAGTGCTGTGCTAACCTGCAGCGTAATCAGCGAAATGATGGAAGATTCCCAGGTTCTCAATCAGCGTATAGATTTTGACGCGCCAGGTTCCTCTCGTCCTTAGCATATCGGATTGAGCGGTTAAATTAAGCCAAAATATGTGGTTTCTCACTAGAAACAGACTCAGCCAACAGTCTGTCTGATGGAATGTCTAACGGCGGTACCGGACGTAAGACTCGAAATATGGAGACAGCATATATCGGTGAAGATTTTCAAAACGACTGAGACCCCGCGAAAATTCAAATTTAATGTGTATCACATTGACTGAGTCGAAAATCCAAAATAAGTCATGCTTATATAAGTTAGAGTGCATCATGCTCATAAAATATGGCGAGTGCGATAGGAATTAGACCGAAATATGCGTCGTCATAATATTTTTGTCTCAGGTCGTGATGTGCTGAAGAGTTAATATTGAGAATACTGTTTTGTCACAGCCATTTTTTTTCCGCTCAGCAAAAAAGATATCGGTGGACCACTGAAATTTGTATATAATGGTATATGCATGCACTATTGCCCTATTAGCCGCACAACTACTGATTCGATCCCTGCATCAACAATTAAATCCGTCTTTGCTTGCCTTCGAATAGGCAGATTCGGGTCAACCTGCTATGGGTAGGTAGAAATTGGTGCGTTTGATCGACTCAGAACTTCTTCAACAAGAACACAGATGCGGATTTTCCATGCTCGGCCACTTTGTATAGTTATGGTTACTGCTAAGGCTGTACAGTTGATATCCATGTGCACTAATAGATTTTCAATGCTCTAATGTAATTTTGTATGTGCACGAGATATGATTCAAATGTCACAGGAAACTTTCAGTTTTCCACAGGCGGAAACTACATGTAAAGATGTTTGACAGACCAAGTCGTTATGGTTTAGGAACGCAAGATTTAGAATACAGTTATTGAGGGATAGAAAAGGTTAGTTATTTTAAAATGGGGGTACTTCAGCCAGAATTGATAGAAAGATACGTGTCTTTTTTGTGGTTAGGTGTTTGTTGGGGAAGGCCCAAAGCAACTTGTGAAACTGGGTTTGAAAATATAACAGATGTTTTGCTTGGGTTACATTGTATGAAGGTGATGACTCACGAATTTCTCTTAATTAAACAAGAATTTAACGCTATAATGAACGATTTGAGCCACGTCTCATAGCAACCAAGGTTAATCATATAGTAATTTATAATGAGCTATGAAAAAGGAAAAATTGTTTAAACTTTTGATGAGCGTATCATAAACGGAAAGCACAGCAGTGTTTGTAGCGTGGCGATGAGCCCATCTCTTTTTTCGTTTTAATCTCTTTCAAAGATTACAGTTAGTAGCGTATTTGCATGAGCTGTACATGGGGAAGTTCAATAACTTAGCTTGAAAATAATCTTTTATGTGACTCTATCTATGAGTGGATTTCAAATTATAGCAAGGTGAACGGGTATTACCAATAAAATAGGGTGTAAGAAAATGGGATACAAGCCCAGAGCAAATACCCAAAAGTGACACGAAATAATTAAAATAATATTATCAATGAGACATTGCCGAGTATTTATTCCTTTTTGCCAGGTAGTAATAAAAATCATGAAAATATGTATCATTAACAACTATAATCATATTATACACAGCCTAAACAGAACAGTAAGGCTCCAGCTAGTATTTAACAAAGGTCCTGAATGATATCACAAGTTAATAAAACCACCCTCAGCTGAACGAAGAAACTCAGTGAAGCTACCAAAGATAATTGAATAATAGCTGTTGAGTGCAATTCTTAAAAAAACTCTGTGAAGTCTGGCAAACAGGTGCTAAGGTTGGTTTTGATCTTAACGTCAAAGACCCTGAATAGGCAATCGCTTCAAACCAGATTGACGCATTAGCCCTTCGTTGAAATCTTCTTTGTTTTCCTTTTTTAGCTCACGACAGCGTGTTTCCTGTGTACACTCTCGAGCCACTAACATTAAGTTATATGCCACGAGGCGAAGCTACCTAACAAATTACATAAAAAGCAGAACCTTAGTGAGGTACACCGCAGATGATTGTAATGGTGGGCGTTTTATGATAATCGTTTGTTTGATAAATTGATATCGTTTACGTGTCTCACTATGCGTTATTGAACTGGCGGGATTGGTGCCTGCAACAAAAAGGCGTTCATTTCTGCTTCCTTGTATAGAATTTCAGCTCAACTTTATCTTAAAAGCCCGTCGGGTTTCTGGAACGAGGAGACATTTGAAGCCACAACGTTGCCATTAAGTAGCTTCTAGAAGAATATGAACCGAAGGTAGAGTTTCTACGACTTCGGCGCTTTTAATGTATAAAAGTGAAATGTGGTGTGTATCAGCTGAACCTTCCATTGATTCTTCCAGAGGAAAGAAAAGTTTTCTGAACAGAGTCATGTTTATTCGAATTATTTTTTAGATATACGGGCCGTTCCACTAATTGTGTTCTTTATAATTTAAACTCATAGAAACGCCAAGAAAATGATATATCATATATTAGGTTGGAGTTGGAGTCACTGCGATTTTTTCAATAAGGTTTCGTCAATTTTACTACTTTTTTGGTAATTTCTACATGTCATTCTCCTCACTACATGTCACATCTCCTCTGTAATTCAATTGTAATTTCGAGTTTAGGTGAAAATTATTGGTGAACAAAATGCATTTTTGTCACCTACCGTATTTTTGTATTAATGGGCAAACATCTTCTTTAAAAGTCTAGTATACTTGTGGCGTGCACAGTCAAGACTCTCAGATTGAGAGTGCTGCTAGAAGATGCTTGCTAAGTTTAAGATTAAAGCCTTAGAACTCTAGAACGTATCCTAACCTGGTCGGCAATCGTAGGTCGATGAGGATCCCGAATAGTGAACAGCTCGTTAACTGGGCAAGAAATTATGCTGCGAACACCACGCGATTGTCAAACATAGTTGCATGTATGTCACTTCACTAGAAATTAGGAGACCAAATGTTTCAGGAACTGAGTGAGGCGTGCAAGGAAACAGGGTCCCCTAGTGACTCTTTAGATTTCGTCCCGCAGCCGACAATACATAACGACAGTAACGGGTTTTTTAGGCAAAATTATCTCTAGAGACGGGAAGTGGCGTCTCCACGGTGACACAATGTAAGGACGCTAATTGGAAGTTCTGGAGGGTAGGCCTAAAAAATAGATTGGTTAAGAACTAGGAGAAGGTCGTGGAGAATGGTGATGGAGATTCATTTCACAACGCTAACTCTAATTTGTTTCGTTTTCAACAAATTGTAATCTCAGAATGTAAGAATAAGTTATGGTGCTCTCTCGTTTATTACACAGATTAATAAACGTAATGTTAATTTTTAGTTCATGTTGTAACTACAGGTTACTACAATAGTGATGATACTGTTATGTGTATTAATAAGCACAGGTGTAAAAAATAAGCACTAAAAATAATTATTTAATTCACCATTTATGTGTACCGTACAATTGCTGACTAGATTTCACGACAACCGAGAACTAGGCTATTAAGGATATACCGATGGAGAGATGATAAACTGCGTAAAATAGCCAACAATTCAACAATGAGCAGCTCTTTGAGTTCTGCTACAATAAAGCACGTCGCAACAACCGTTGCACTGGTAGTCCAGGAGCCTGTGAAGGTACAGATGTTCATTTATAAGCGACCCATATATAAAAGCTGTGACCTAGAAAATTATGTTATCTATACTCTGTCGTATTGAACCAAGTGCTGATAATAGACATAAATGACGCATAGCTCTCTATAATATATGCATAATGCCATCTATTACACTTATTAGGATATAGAAATCTCCGCATTATCTGTTATGTTACTAATCGAGTCCAGGCCGTATCTGGTGTCTTGCCACCCGCCGAGATACGTATTGACATACCGACGGAACATTCTCAGACTCTTACCCAGAACATAGAAATGAAATCAAGCGTTAGCTTCGTCCTCATCACTTCACTTTGACGAACAGCTAAATCAATTTTTTTTGCTTCCGAATGCTACAATGTACAGCTCGCCATGTTTTTGTAGGGACATCGAAAAGCCAAAAACTTGGAAAGTCAGCCCTAAACTGTGATAGAAAAAAAATAAAAGATCATATTATTAATTGGAACTGTTTAGGAGAGCTTCAAATGAGACAGAAACAAGAGACACACAGTCCTGGTTTAATTGGTTATTATGCTTGCAGCCGAAAAAAAACCTTATTTTTGAAGCTTGGCCACAGGATATTCTATAGAATGGTAAAAAATATTAAATACAATATACGCAACCTTTATAGAGAGTTACTGGTACACTACGGTAGCCATAGTATAACATAGCATGTAGATTCACGTAGTGCTCATCCCAGAACTATAGCAGCATAATTATAGCTTCAAAAGCTTATGACCATGTATTAGGTAGGCATCTACAGAACTAGTTTACCTGTGACTGTTTTGGCCACTTCATCGGTTTCTCGTTCGTGATTTACATATTCCGAGAGTTTCCCAATTTCCATAGTATTGCCATCCAGCCGATATGCCGAAGCGCTTACTTATGCGGCGCTTATGGATGTCGAAAGACCTGCGACCTTGAAATCAAGAAACACCACTGTAGAACGGATTTTAAATTGCACGGTCGTTTTCTGCACACTTTAAAGAAAAATAACTATTCGTTAATAAAACGGTAAAAGGATAAAGAAAAAAAAAATAAATAAAGGTTAAAAAAATAAAGCCATTTAATACGCAATAAAATTGCGCGTCCAATACGAAGTTCGGTTCGGAACAAGGTAAGTTTTCAGTGACGACACCGGAAACTAATAACTGATATTTTTACTCTCCCTATAATGCAGCCACACTGGGGTAATGTCTCAGCTTATCTCTTTTGCATAGGGCTGGTTTAAAGATACCGAGATTATACAGGCAAGGGTAGGCATCAAATTGTCGACATTTTCGTTACTGCATCAGGGCCAATGCTCTTGATTGACATCGTACACATTTGCCAGAACGTATTTGTTTTTGTACAAAAGGCCGATCCGTAAGTACAGAAAGTCACGTGTTTGACAAATGTATGTCTTGAATAGGGATTACTCTGTCTAAAGTTTACAAGCAAAGAACGGTGTTAGCTCGAGAAGCCTATAGGATATTTGAATTTTTAACTAATAAACTATTAAATTATTACCTACGATGCTGGTAACTGCTGCCGTTCGTATGCCCTGCGTTGTTAATTTCTTCACAGATCTTTAATTGCGGACGATTTGCGAATGATGCGATTTATAAAAAAAAATGCACTTCTATTATGTAATTAATTAATTCCTCTCTTACGAGCTGTACGAGTTATACGAAAAGACCAGAGGCAAGGCGTTCGTGGTACCTAACCGGAAGAAGCCCCAAACGATCGAGCTGGATTGATTGACTTCAAAGGTCGAGCCAGTATTATCGAAAAGTGATTTTAGACTAGAAAAAAAAAGACATTTTAGGCTAGTCGTGTATCAAGGCGGTAAGTTTCTTTCATTTTGTATCAAAACCCCCAATGCAAAAAAAAACTTCATTTAAAGTTCATTGAAGGTGTAACTTGGTTGACCCAAAGTTAAGACTACGAAAAGTCGATACCCAGCCCCTCGATTAGCATTGAAATCATCTTACAGACATCGCTACAAGCAGCACAAGTTGGACCGCGGTCACAATAATAAACTGCTAGTTTCTACGACTATAATAGGTTTCAAAAAAATACTGTCGCGGTATCATATTGTAGGATAATTGTTAATAATATATGGCTTGATTTTACTTAAATGTACGAGGGGCAGTCGTGAATTTGAAAAGAGCCCACTATCGTAATCGCTAGCTTTGAAGGACTATGTCTTGCACACCCGATCCATAGATCTTGAATAAGTGTAATCTCGACAGACCTCTAGCGGAGAAAAAAGACTCCAGGAATCTCAATAGGAAATCTCAGTAGGAAAACGACGCTGATTTTCGAACGTGCAAATGATAGGTGCGTGCACATGGTGAGGCAATAGCCAAAAAATCATTGAATTCTACTATAATCTTAGTAACTCATCGATTTAAAATTGTTTCACCTTATGGCAGGTCGCGCCGCCGCGTTTCAACGCAGAAGCTATATTTCACCTTTACTTTATTCTAAGAGCTTACTGAATGTCTATAACGACTCCTGTGAACAAGCTCATATACATGGAAACTTTCCCTTTTCGTGTTAACATCTATTCGGTTCTATGAGATCAAAGCCTGCGTACCAGCCAGAGCAGTACCTAGTTCAGATCGAATCATAGAAAGAAAAGTTAGCGATACAAGACAACTACGGGCTAAAAAGAGATAGGCTTCGGCTGGTCACGGCCGAAAGCTTCAAATGGTTCTGATAATTTCGAGATGCGATCCGTTTACTGCTGACAAGTATTGCTCCAGACTTCTACCTTCCAACGCGAAAAAATCTATCTGAGCCAGATTTGGGACCTAGACTACTTTACGTGTCTCTAACTCTCGTGGGACCATCACGAGCCAATTATAAATAACTAGTTAAAGGCGATAGAACGTAAAGTCGCCTGTATCAGGTTTACATATGAAATTATAAGCAATGTTTAGCATAGATTTGTGACGGTGCAATTTGTACCGTTCTCCTAAATAGAAATACGTTTCATAAATAGAAATAACTTCCGAAGGAACTCTTCGAGGCATCTCACTCATTTAGATGATTTTTTTATTCTAAACATGTTAAAACGGGTTAGCTGGAGGTCCGAATTGATTCACGTTTGGTAAAGCCGAGAGAGGCTGGCGCCGGATGGGTTTAGCTGTTCCCAAACAGCTAGGTTCCTTCTCGACCGTGATCCTATCACAGCCCCCAAATATATTTATCCATTAAATTTTCCGGTAACAATGACTATGTGCTCTTTGCTAATGCTTACGCTAAGTCTACGGGTTTTGATGCCCACTCTTAAGGTGAGTATGTATATGTGTTCTGGGAACGGGATATTACATGTGGACACATAATACTTGCACTATTCCTGCTTCCATTAATGGTGTCAACCTAATGCTTCATATGGGCAAAGCTTGAATCAAGTAGCTTTGTGATCGGTGACTGAACGTTAGCGTTACACGAAGACTGAATTTTTCACGGCCGGATAGCTCTACTGATAATTTCTTCAGCGAACGCCTGAAGCCTCTCGGAGTTTCTAACTAATAGACAAACTTGGCAATTTTCTACAGCAAACCGAAGTGGCCAAAAATGTGTGAATTAATGCAAAGTGGGTCGAAGCTGATTTATCGAGAGACCTAAATCCATAATTGATGGACGCACATATTCCTCGCCTTTTCTATTCAATTTTTGTAGCTCTATCGCAAAAGGGCCAATCAATTAATGGCGGTTGCAATAAGAAATGATTAGCCCACTTCTAACACTCGACAAGCCCTGAACCCCCAATACTTTCTGAGTAAATTTTATAGCCCGTCAGTTCCTTTTTACAGTTCGTTTGCCTGGCTGAACACAATTGAAGTAAGCTACGATTCTTTCCTCAAAAAGCCTCTCATGTCACCATATAGCTTAAACAAGGACGTCTAAAGGAACGCATAATAGTTAGTGACTTTTACAGCGAGATACCCTTTCTAACTTTCTAATGAATCTCTACTTACCGCAAAGATTCCAGCCAGATACCGTTTGATCGTAGTGCACTGTTAGCTCAACCGGGAACACTGATTCGAACTCGAACGAGGTTTAACCCGTAAATGAATTTTAATTTTGCAGACAAATAACCTAGACATTGCAAGTAACTTATGGCCATGATGAATGGTAGAGGCAATGTAATGACTTGTCCATATTGCAGCCTCGTACAAACCGGTCTGCGAACTATTTCAAGAAAACAGAACGTTGTTTTTGATTTTTGCAAGTGACTTGTTTGTAACTGACTAGTACCATAGCCCTCTCTGAAATTGAAGCCAATCTCACACCTTGATTATAAGTACCATAATAATAATACTATGTTTCTTCTGTTTGTTTTGCTAGTGAATTACACATTGTTGTTTATATTCATACCTGCAATACTGATTTTCTTTGTGAAAGTTGACTGAAGACAAATTTCTTATAAGATAACTGTATAGTATTGAAATTGTTATTAGATACATTTTCAGGTAGACCTAGTAAACAGAAAAGTGTAAATTTCCGCTTCCAAAGTTAGTTAAACATCCAAAAAGACGTAAGGCAAACTGTGTTAGTTCAAAGGTTGATAGGTTCCAATAAGTACTTTGTAGTGCAGTGTCAATGTTTCTTTGCGAAGCTGGTCGAATGGTTTCAACAAGATTTAATTAACAGACAAATCAGTAGCGGATATTATACATCCTACCAGCCAGAAGATACCCTGCATTTAAGATTCGTATTAGCAGCAAAAAGCAGACGGCATTTCATATAAACAACCTGGTGCACGCTGCCCTCTGTCCCGTTCTATAGTTGGAATAGCGTTTTCAAACTACTTTAGGCCAATGTACAGTACGACGACTGTAACATTACAACTCAACAAAGTATTTCTCATGTTCTGTCTGGAATTGTATGGTTTTATTGAGTACAAATGGTCATTGCTTCTTGTCACGTCATACGGTTCACAAGCATTAAACGTATTATCTTTAGGACAGATAGCAAAGCACCTTTGCCTCAAGAATTAATTACAAAATGTTCGGATAATTAATCGAATGGGCAATCATGTTAATAGGATTACCTCACTATCGTTTATCTGCAAGTTCAGAACCTCACACTGAAATAACAGATCCGGCAATGCTCAAAAAATATCAAACAAGCGATTTATATGATCTTTTTTTTTGTGACTGGCTGATGTTTTGAGAAGTATTAGGATAACGCTGGATTTGTTTCGGAAACGTGTCATTATATATATATATATATATATAATCGCTACATTTTGTCAGTGTTTAACATGACTGAATTATTACCAAAATATCACGAATTTTTAGCTACAATCTTTGAGTTCTGTAAATAGTTCGAGCCATTTTTTATTTAGATAGACTTGCGCTTGTTTCAGATGGGAGTAAAGGCAGCCCTGCTGGGAATGCAGCACCGTTGCCTGTCCTTTTAAATCATCACTGCGCGGAACCGTATCGGCAAATAGGTCTCTGTTAAGTTAACAGATTTGGCCGGCTAACACCTTAAAGACACAGAATCGATACCCATGTTATACATGTGGGTTGTTTTTTAATATAATGTAACATAAATGAGTAAGCGGGAGTACTTATCGGAATAAATTTATCAGTTATTGCATTGGCCTAGCAGAAATGTAACAATCGAACTTGAATATTTGTTTTTTTCAGTAGATATTCATGTAAACTTCTCACGAGGATATACAACTTTCGCGTTGACCACATTTTTACGATATTCGTTGTCTTCTAAGATTTGAAAAACTTGTAAAATGTGTAATAATATCTCTAGACAATTACACATTTGCGAGGCATGTCTTTTTGCTCCTTTGGTAATAGTCGAAGTGTTAGCTGTTTACGAAAAAGGAATTCCACCAAAACAGAGGGCTTAAGCTGGTAGACTCACTTTGTGATCATCGAAACCTAATGGCAATGGCTACTTGCCTTACCTAACCGGCGGATTATGATCAGATAGCCCTAGGCTGGGATTGTCCGGTCGCAACACTCATAGACACGCAAAGATTTGCGTTCGTCTCATGCTTTTTCTATTTATTCTATTCTATCCTTTAGTGTATCTGGTCGCCCCGAACGTCCGACCGGTAGAGATATCGTCTTGCCTTTGTGAAAACGTACTTTTTGGGCAAGCTTGAACTTTGCAGAAGTTAAATCTTACATATCAGTAATATGTTCAGCCAAGCGAATTACTACTCACACAGTCGCTTTGGAACGACTCACGTGTGACGATAAATTGTACCACTTTTACAAACACTCGTTCGGACCAACTGTGGTTTTTCAGCATACTGCGCACCAAATACCCATGTACCATAAATCAACGAACACCAAGATTCAATTGATTTTCTTCTAGAAGGGGAGACAAGGCTATAAAAGATCGACTCAGACAACTGAACATACAAATGCGGCCATCCAAATTCCCTGGCATCTATGTTTATTATGACAACATATACCTGTCCTTTTTTACATCAAAGTCACGATTATGATCACATCATATACTACATGGTCGTCATGACATGGTCATGACATCGTCTCTGTATAGGGAGACACGGCTGATCAGGCGAAAACCATCTCTACTCTAAACAATGATGGTAAAATAGCTAATTTCAGCTAATATTTTTAATAAAAATAGCTAAGCGTGATTTCATCATTCAATCAAGATGTGCAGGCAAGAACGGTACCAGTGGCAACACTATTTGGAGCCCTACATACGAAAATGTACTTCGATTACGTGTATTGTTATAGCGTTCGAGTGAGAGCGACGAAGCCATGATTGCTCGTATAACCTTTATTGTTTCTTTCAATTATAGGTTCTCCATATACATGATATACATAAACTATGGGGACTATAAGAATCTGCGAATTGGGCGTGAAACAAAAGGAAAATAATAATGTAATAATAATAATAATGTAACAATGGGACTTGGTCCACACGTAACAAACACAGTTCAAACCAGGTTAAGAAACTCATCATCAAACCGGTTGTGTAAGAAGCATGGCCATTCATTCATGGATAAAAAGACAAGACTCGCTCGTGAGTCTTGTCTTTTTATGGAGATATCATATTCAATTGAACTTAGCAGAAGTAAGTTGCTGTCAGCCAACCTGACCTGACCTGATTAGTTAGATTAGGGCAGAAATGCGCGAATGAGATTCTAAAGCGAAAAGAGGGACACTGACCAATTTACTTTTGCAACCTAGTAAATTTCGAGTGTACGTTTAGATAAGCGAGAGGTCTATAGGCGTTAATTGTTGGAAAGCACTTTGCATATGTGATATTTTCAGCTGCGCGTTCTCGTTTCCAGTACTTTAGTTGTGATGGTTTACATAAAGTATAGAACCGTACGAATCAAGTTGGAGCCAGGTGTTGATCTTGGAAATTAGCGATTTCTTCTTCAGCAATCTTTAGCCGTACAAGCAGACCGAAGATCATCTTTTATTGCAACACAAAACGATACTGACTGTCGCGTGCAAGGTATAAAAATACAGAAATAGTATGAATGATACCGTGTTTTTTTCTACGTTAGTGTTGAACAGTTCTTCTTAGATATTAAGATTCAGAGGAACGTACTCTGCGACAGAAAAAGGTCTAAAAACGTACACGTCGCACGAACATTCAATAAACCTATAGGATACTTGTGCTATAATTGTTTTCATTCAGCATTGCAACTTGGATCGTTTGAGCTGTAAGATTTGTTGGATTACATACTTTGTTCATCTGCAGAAAAAAAAACAGCTGCTTCGTCAGATCATCGTGGCCCGTCAAAGGGCAAGCGAGTCGTAACTTTTTATTTCAGAAACCAAAACACCACGTAGAAAGCAGTTTGAAACGAAACAGATGGACGTTGCAGACCATAAAAATGATTGACCAAATTGACCAGGTGGTACCTTTTGATTATACGCTATATCATAAAAAGTTCCACAACTCAGAAGGAAAAACGTTTTAGATTGTTGCAAGTAGGGTAAATACTGCTGCACATCGTCTTAGAATATGGACGTATAGTAACGGTATTACGACAAGTCGTTCAGATCGTATCGGACTGTTTCACTGTTGAATATAGGGTACTGAAATGAATTGTAGCAGCTACACTTTACAGGAACCATCAGGAAATTAGCTCATGGGCCTTTTCATATGCAGCTTTGTCTTACATGAGTCTGTTAATGAATTACTCCTGAATAAAGGATTTATTTGAATATGAAATAATAGCATAAAATATTATACTATGTCGGGTTATTACAAAGGATGTATCTGCGAGCATATGAGAATTATTAGCGGAGCGAGACTCTACTAATCGTTCGATTCGAGCTCTTCGTTCGGCATACTTACCCACTTTATACACAAATGTAGAATACATTCCAGGCAGTCCTGTTTATATAAATAATAAAATAATTATCAGGCCAATGCCAAAGGTGATGTAGTAATTTTTATTTTTAAACTGTTGCTTTTGCCTTGGATAAATCACTATTGGGTCTGCCAGGCTGGCGAATAAATAATGTAAAGTTTTTCTTAAATATGACTAGTTGTTTTTTTTGACGTATCATTTGAAACCGTCTGTCACAGAAGCCTATTATAGTTTGCGCAAGTAACTAACTTCCATCTCAACAATATTTACTAAATAGAAAAACGAGATTGAGTAGATGTCCCTTGTTTTGGTCGGCTGCTGCAGACCGCTACAAACACTGGACGATGAATAGGCATTTTAGATGTGTAAAACTGATTACAAGTTAGAAGCCTGGTTGGCCCAGGAGCTGGACGAAGCATATATACGGGGGCACGACTTTTTATTGATCCTCAAGATCTCGCACCGACAAACACCCAGCCAAAATGACAGCTTTTTGAAAAGATTTGTTACGGATGGCGAAAGGTGTCTCTACGTAAAAGGAATGGGTAGCTCATGTAAGATACGCCTAAGCCGCAATTCAGCCAGATTTTCAATCGAAAGAGATTATAAGTTGGTTGGGAAAGATTTTACACAGTGGAAAACGCGTGAGAAGAACAAAAGGGTCGATAGAATTTTGCACTACAAAGATTAGCTGCATCTAATAAATGAGGCTATCCTATAGAAAGGACCCAATAAGTGAGTGAAGATGTAAACGGCGTAGTTTAAATGGTTAATGCACATCTCTGAGTGCGTTGCCATAATATCTGTGAAACATGCAGCCACGCTGTTGCAAATTTCAACGTTGGATACAAAGAACTACTGAAATATAGAAAAAAAAATGAAAAGAAACACCAAGTTATGTATAGTTGTTATGTCGTTTTATAGACCTGTTGGGGGAAGCC